CAGAATTTTTAGGGCTCTCCAGCAGGCATATTTTTACCCAAATATGCCTTTTTCCCGGGTTAGGGTTCACTTCGGGTAGGGGTTTACTTCCGGTTTTGGGTTTTTTAAAATTTAAAACTTTTTTTTGGAAATTTTTTGTTGTAAAATTTTTAAAAACAGAAAAAGGGAGCCTTAAACATTGTTTAAAACCCCAAAAGTTTGAAAATGGGGATTTAAAAAGTTTAATGCTATCGGAAACTTATAAAAAAATTACCATTAGCAGCCGACGTTGAACGGCTGGGGCATATTCGGGCATCCTTTGTCCAAAAAAATTAGACACCAAAAAAAAAATTTATTCAAAAAGGCCCCCCAAAAAAAAAAAAACCCCCCACATCAAAGCGGGACAAAAAAAAGACCCGCGGGCGAAATAAAAAACGTTATGAAAGAAAATTGACGAGTCCGGGGATGCAGGTCCTTTTGGGATATGTTTTTTATATTTTAAAAACTTTCCCAGGTAGGAAAAATTTTTTCTTTTATTTTTTTAAAAAGTTTAAAAAATTTTTGACTATATTAAATATTTTTTCCAGTGTATTGCATATTTTGCAATAATATACAACTTCCATTAGCTAATAATTTAATGAACAACCCTCACGACCATTTACGTTGTACTTCCGGTCAAATATTTCGAATTTTATTTTTTTAGGACAATTTAGTTTATTCCTTCAACATGTATTTTGCTATGCAAACATAAGAAAGTAATAAAATTTTAAAAAGTTTAAGGACGAATAAGCTATTTATTGTTAATCTGTTAACATTAATTAATTAAGTTCTTTCTTCGTGTTTGCAGGTATGACAAAATCAAAGCAGACGACATCGAGACTTACCGGAAATGACATAATGCAGATAATTTTGTTGGGAAATTTAAAATTATTTGGAAAATATAATTAGCAAATAAACTTTGTTAAAAAGTTTATTATAGGCTTTTTATAGTTATTCCGATATATATGCTTATATATGTTGTAATATATTAGTACATGACCGTAAAAGTAAGATTTAAGTAAGATTAGCTATATATATATAGTCAAGTTAATTAATTTTTTTCCATTAAGAAAGGCCAAATGACCAAAAAAATACAAAAAATTTTTTCCAATCGATATTTTTAATTATTCAGTTGCCCAATAAGACAATGGCGGGAAAAATTTGTTTCTACATAACTCTCTTTTTTAACCAAGTTTTGTAAAACCCCCGAAAAAATTTTTGTCTGATTTTGGGGGGTTTAAACTTTTCAGCACACCCGAAAATAACAGTTTTTACTGGTGGGGGAAAAACCCTCGGGTTTGTTTTCCCCCTTGCTTTATTCTGGAAATTTACGGGCATTTTGAGTAGAATCACCCCCTTTCGAAAGCAAAGTTTGAAAACCTCATAAAAAAAGTGGGGTTTTCAAACCCAAACAAGAAAGGCAAGTTTTTTAAAAATAACCCAACTGGGGCCTCGGACCCCCCATATTCTGTGTATCCTTTTTTAAAGTGGTGAAAAAAAAAACAATTAAAAAAATTTTCCAAATAATTGGCATTTCAAACGATAGCAATGTCTTCGATGGTGTAGTTAAAAGTGGCGTTTTGTATAAAATTGTTCACTGGTAAGAGAGAAGACAGTTAGGGGCAGGATAGCTCAAGGGTCGCGGGTTCGAGTTCCAGTCAGGCTTCACAATATCACGCTTTTTCCTTAACTTTGAATATTTGGCCCAATATAAGGTTCGAACCTTCCAAGAGTATGACAAAACTATTGCAAGCACGGATCCAGAAGATAACCACTCTGTAATTCGGCTATTGTATTTTACTATGTGCATAAAATATATACATGTATTAGCATCAAGTTTTGGATATAACTTAAACATTTTAGAGAAAACAGTCACCCTAAATTTAGACTAATTACCAGTTTCGTAAATCTAGTAAATTGAATAATGCCTTATCCCTTTCTCTCCCCCACCCCTTTTCAATGAAATATGCATAACCCCTTGCCAAAATATTTAATGTTACCAACTTTTCTGTACTATAAAACGACCTCTAGTATTAACACCTGCATTCATACCTTTTTAAACTAGGTGCGCATGTGAACAAAATTATTTACTACAGCACGTACGTGTCTGAATACAAGCATTGGCTACAGTTCTTGTCTGAACTAAATCCCTGTCTGAAACATGTACCAAAATTAAAACTATTCGTGCGAAACACGTGTTTGAACTGAAACCATTATTGCAACAAGTGTCTGTACTAAAACAATGCAAACAACACGTGTCTGAACTAAAATACTGCTTGCAACACGTATCGTAACATTATCATAATTATATTTATATTAAAACAATGCCTAAGTATTTGTCTGAACATGAAGCACTCCATGTCTCACGTGCATGCATGAACTAAATTAATGCCGGAAACTTAAGCCAACATATGCGTGTATTAAATATGCCTGAACTAAAGTAATAACTTCAGCACGTGCATGCCTGAACCAAAATACTGTCTGTTACATGTACCTGAGATATACACCTGTAGCACGTTCCCATCTGTAACAGGTGTCTGAACTAAAGAAGTCAGAATGAAGACAATGTCTATAGGATGTACCTGAACTGCCACGTGTGACAAAACTAAAACAATGCCTGCAATATGTGCTTAAAACCAAACTCGTGTCTGAACTAAATCCATGCTTGCAACACGTGTCTGATCTTTAAGTTCCTGCAACACAAAATGTGTAAACACATCCCTGAACGCAGCACATCTAGACAAGAAAACTGTCTGAACTAATATATGAACCTGTAAAACAAGTCTGAACTAAAAGCAAGTCTGAAATAAAAGCACTAAAAGAACTGTTGCAACGTAATACTTAAAATACTGCACAAACCTAGGTTAATGCATGATGACCCGAGTGTCTTATGTCTGTGGGTAAAACATGGGTCCAATATTCCTGTCAATACTAGATCTAAAATGGACTTTGGAAAAACAAAGCAACTTCACAAGAAATAAAATGGTATGGACAATTAAAAGCATATCTACTTTGTATCACAAAATGTAGCATTATAAAAAGAAAACAAAAATTCCTGAACATGAATTTTATTGATAAAACATGATATTTTTTACATTTGAAAATATTTTTAAAAATATAAGAATGTGAGGGAGTATATTTGCTTTGGATGTTATATTGTTTATATGTTTGGTCCATGAAAGGTCTTGACTAATAATGACTCCTAAGTATTTTGCTTCTTGGGTTGAGTTTAGCTGGACGTTATGGGGGGTATAAGGAAATATTACAGGGTTTCTTTTTCTTGTTATTCTGCGGACTTCACATTTATCAGGGTTGAACTCAATATATTTATTTGAGTTCATGTTTACCCGCAATGTTTTTTCCCATTAATTGTCATCTTAGATTTAAACAATATAACTTACATTATTTGATTTTGATTAAAATAGAATTTGATTTGAATAGGAATTTGTGATAAAACAAAGATTTAGTAGATACTGTACACTAATTCCACGGAGAATTGTGCAATTGTGAATTAGTCGAAAGTTCGTTTCAATCGTCTTATACCCGGTTCGAGAAGAGAATATAATGACTAGAACAGCTTAGAAGAGAAACCTAATCGAACGCAAAAGTATAGAAAAGGTGATCTGTCATAATGAATTTCATATATTTATTGAAAAGCTGTTAGAAACATCTAGAAAATATCATTATAATTGTGTTTTCATATTTATTCTGACTTATGTCTTTTCCCAACACTTTTTGCCGTCGCGCAATCGAACAGACCTCTACCTATAACGGAAGCTCTTCTAAAGTATCAATCGAACAGGCTATGAGTGTTAAAATGACCAATGAAAATTCTGCCTATATTCATTTCTTTACTGTTAATTTTAGCGGAAGTCAAGGTGAAATCAGACGGCCTTCGGCCGAAAAAAAATCAAGTTTGAAACGATAGCGACGACAATTACAAGCATATTACTATAATAACTTAGATATACATGTACAGTTTTTGACTTTGTATATCAGGTAATGAAGTTATATACCGGGTTATAATTATAGTAACATTCGATCAGGTTTAAAATGTTAATGTACCAGTTTTTACCAATTACCAAGTTAACATATAAAAAGTCACTTCGCTATATATAAGTTTCTAGAAAAAAAAACACCTAGATCTAATATACACATAGCGCACGGGTACTATTTTCTATTGTTTTTGTTTTTTTGGTAATTATTTCTCCTTCTTTGTTTTAATTGGTATTTAACCGCCTCCGTAGTCGAGGGGTTAGAGTTGATGACTTCTAATCCAGTTACCTCTCTGGCGTGGGTTCGATCCCCGGAAGATGCTTTGGTAGTTTAGCGCAGAGGAAGGTAGTCTAGTACTGGTGTAACTCTCCGGAAACTATCCGCCTATATGACAGAAATACGGTTGGAAAAAGGCGTAAAATGAAACAAACAAACAAACAAACAAACAAAAACTTAATTGATTGTAATTAACTTTAAATACAAGAATAAGGAATTGAAAACGGTTATAACTGGTTAATTAGTACGGATAGGACTAAGGTGGATCGACCCCACGAGATAGACATATAAGCGTGAAAACAACAGAATAAAAGAAAACTTCCCTGATTTCTAAGTATTTCATTTTCATAAACAGGTATCCGCCATTTATTGCACAATACTGCGTTACCTATTGCACGAATCGTGCGTTATTTTCACATTCCGGCGTTACTGGATATACACGATGATAAAGGAGTAAGTGCTGTAAGTAAAATATAATCGGGTTTGGGAACTTGTGTTAACACCTTTTCCAAATATTATATAACAATGTCATAGTAACTGCCATTATATGTTTATGTATCTACATGTACTTCGCCGAAGAATTAAGGGGAGATCACTGCGTGGAGATTGTACGTAGTTACAATATTGCCTCCCTTATGATGCAAACAACGTCAATGACGTCATCAAATAGCGCGTCAAAAGACGTCATTTCTATGGTTTTCAGTAAGTTGCACAAACGCATATTGACAACAACCGCTATAAGCAGAGGAGAGCATAAGATTTAAAAACAATAACACATATAGATATTTTTAATAAAATGAGCACTGAAATTAAGTCTACAGGATCTGTTAAAGGTAAGGTAAATGTTTTAATTCAAATTAAATTAAACTACATTTCTAATTATTTTTTTTAGAATATTGCGATCTGAAGAATGAGTAAAAACTATTTCCTGTTTCATTATTATTATTATTATTGTTGTTATTGTTATTGTTATTATTATTATTATTATTATTATTATTATTATTATTATTATTATTATTATTATTGATTAATTGATTGATTGATTGATTGACTGACTCTGACTCTGACTCTGACTTTGTCTTTGACTTTGACTTTGACTTTGGCTTTGGCTCTGGCTCTGGCTCTGGCTCTGGCTCTGGCTCTGGCTCTGGCTCTGGCTCTGGCTCTGGCTCTGGCTCTGGCTCTGGCTCTGGCTCTGGCTCTGGCTCTGGCTCTGACATTGTATTTTACTTTTCACTTTATTTTACTTTATTTTATTATACTTTACTTTTAATTACTTGTCCATTTATTTATTTATTTATGCTGATTATTTATTTTTTTTATTATTTATTTATTTATTTATTTAATCTATGCACTCACTCTCACTCACTCACTCACTCACTCACTCACTCACTCACTCACTCTCTCACTAACTAACTCACTCACCCATTCACTCACTCACTCACTCATTTAATTTTTTTTATTTATTTATTTATTTATTTATTTATTTATTTATTTATTTATTTATTTATTTATTTATTTATTTATTTATTAATTCATTCATTCATTCATTCACTCAACCCTCCAAATGTCCGTCCGTCCGATACCCAGCCCCATAACTACAACAATCCCAACAAACCTTACCTTTGTATGCCTTTGTTCCTTTGTTGATTTTATACAGTCGAATGAAAAAAAAACAGTCGCAAAAGAAATGGTTATATCGGGTTGAAACAAGAAATTTCAACAGTTCTGCGGTCAAGCCTCAATATGTCAATGCTTTAAATAGAAAATGATAATTATGAACATATATAAGTTAGTTGCTAAAGTTTTTGTCACTGACAGACACTTGGGCCAGACCCATCTCCCGTCTTGAACCGTCCCCGTAGTCGGTACATGTTCTTTCAAAAAACAAAGCGATTTATTCCCGGTTACACAGATCTATGTAAATTTGTAAGACGGAAAATAATTATACAAATTTCATGAATGTAAGCCACTGACAAAAGTCGATCTTTTTTCTGTTTTCTCTTTTCTTCAATGAAAAGATTATGTCGTCTGCTGCAAAAAAAAAATACAAAAAATCATATACATGTATGTCTCAGAATTGCGGTATTTGTGATATCACAATGGGACCCAATCGGAATAACCCGGCTATTATTGAAAATTCATTGTCCTTTTATCCGATGTTTGACGGAAAGAGCCGAGAAGATATGAATGAATGGGACCCCAATCGTAACATCTCGGCAATCTCCGTCAAGCGAATTCTTGAAGTCGCCCAATGTAGCCGATTGATGGGACCCGTACCATTCGGAACTGCCTCGGCTATTATCTATTATCCGAAGACTGACGGAAAGGGCCGAGTAGTTGCGATTGGACCCGGACAGGTTGGAAGTTTAAAAAGTCTAGCCAAATGTAAACTTTCTGCCCTTTCAATCATTTTTCGGACAGGCGAGGTGTTGCCAATGATTGCTAAGGATTACTTGTCAATCTGAACACATCACCGATTATTCAAAATCATCTCGGAAATAATACTGATTGAAAGTAGATCTTACCACGTGACTTTTGATTTAAAACAAAGACACATGTAGTAATCTTTGTATAATGAGTAGTAATGTGTATACTTATTTAATATTCGTTGGAAAATAAAGTTTATCTCTGTTGCACATGTATAATGATTTGAAATATGTCTGACAATCAGAATCAGAATCAATTTAAGAACGCCTATTGAGATACAATTGTAACCAAATTCGAAATATTCCATTTCTTAACATGTAATAAACAGAGAAAACTATGCTAGTGTCTGATATAACAAAATTTATCAGGCAAGGCCACAGATATACATACAATTAAGCTCCATGTATTTAGTTCCATGGCAAGGCTAAGAAAAAATGAAGGACGAGGATCAACCGAGCCCTTCAATTTTTTTCGTGCAAAGCATGATAAATTTTATGATATTACACACTTGTTTGGCATTCTTTTTATATCATGATTATAAGTTTTACAATTAAACATTTCTTTCTTTGAATTTCAAATTAAACAAAAACCTGTTAAGAACCTGTCAAGAACCTCTCGAATTCATGCCGCGCGCAATATGCTAAGGCTCACATGTTTAAGAAATAGTCCCAATAGTTTTCAGTCAAATGTAATCCAAAAATGTATTCGATTCAACGTTTATCAGTTTAACATTTTCAAACTTGTATAAGAGGTAAAATTTCCTATTTCCTTTCATTTTATTTCAATATGTGTGGTGCCTTATAAAGCAGAGCAACAGGAATCCATTTTATTTATATTTAATGCAAGGGAGACAAGCGAGTTAGATAAAGCGACAAACTCCTCATAGTGATTACCTCCCTTTGCAGATTTTTGTACTGATAAGGGGAGATCGCTGCGTAGTTTTTTTTTTTTTTTTATTTATAAACAAAACTCATGGCCCTTAAGGGCATAAGAGTGAACAATCAACAAAACAAAAAATAATAATACAAACATGGCATGAAGTAAATAAGTAAATAAGGAAGATGACTTATTGAAATTTCAGCATTATAGCTTTGACAAAAATGGCTAGATTAAATAAAGTATTTCTGTTGTCGCTACACATAAGAGCCTGAAAATTTAAAATACTAGGAACCTTGAATAATAGTTACTGATATACCTGTGTCTTTCATGATTAAAATAAGTACATTTAAAAATATAATGAAATTCATCACCTATTTCTTGCTGATTACAAAGTGAGCATGTTCTATTTTCTCTTTCAATACCAAAATAGCGACCTTTCTCTATAGGAATATTAGAATTGAGACATCTAAATTTACAGAGAGCAATTGCTAAATTTCTTGGTAAACATAGTAAATAATGTTCTAATTTAAATTGAGTTTTATATATTCTATAGTTTAAACACTTAGCAGAATCAAAAACATCACTATTCCATACTTGTAAAAACTGATCACGTAATCGTGATTTTATTACATATTTAAAATTATTAAAATTTGCAACATTCTGAGTTATCCAAAATCAGAACAACCAAGATTATTCAAAGTAGATTTTACTTTCTCGATCCACTGACAATGTAAAATACCCTTTTCATGAAGATTATACATAGTGCGGTACAAAGAAGCACATATTTTATCATTTTTACCATTAACTAATTTACTCCAAAAATTTAACATTCTGCAAGTAATATCATTTTCAATAGGAAATGCACCTAGTTCTCCCAAGACCATAACCGAAGGAGTTGACATCTTAAGTTTAAGTATATATTTATAAAATTTCAATTGAAACTGAGAAATAATAGAATTATTTTCAGATCCCCACACCTCCGACCCATACAATAATATTGGCTTAACCATACTATCAAACAACTGTAACTGAATATCAATTGGCAAACACAATTTCTTAATTTTAGTTAAAATACTAAACATAGCCTTCCTCGCTTGATCTGTCAAGTGCTTTTTTGTTTTATTAAATTTACCATTAAAGTTGAATATCACACCTAAATAACTAAAATCATCTACAGCTTCTAGAGGTGCATTATTGAAATAAAATACAGGCTTATTTCTTAATTACCACGAGAAAATACAACAACTTTTGTCTTATCGGTATTAACAGTCAAATGCCATAATTTACAATAATCAAGCATGCAGTTTAGTGCTGTTTGAAGGCCAGTTTGACTTTCCGCGAAAACAACTGTATCATCAGCATAGAGTAATAAGTACAACTTCAAGAATACATCAACTTCATCATTACTTAACTGTTCATTTATCTGGTCTGATAAAAACTGCAACCCTTCACAATATGTAGACATATAAGAAACCAAATCATTAAGGAAAATTGAAAACAAAATTGGAGAAAGATTTTCTCCCTGACGGACACCTAAACAGCTTACAAATGTATCTGACAATGCATTATTCACTTTAACACAAGACTTAGCTTTGTCATAGATATTATGAATAACTTTAAGTATTTTCCAGTAGACTGATAAAGCGAATGTACCTTAATTTTTTGCACAATTGTCACCCTTGTTCCTAGTTTCTTTACCATAAAAACGCTGAGATTATCCTTTTGCCAAAAATAATGTTTATGTACATGTATATATTTGTTTTTGCAACACAATATGTTAAGATCAAATCAGACTTGCATGTAGGAGAGTTCCACAATTAAGGGAGATCACTGCGTAAAGACATTGGCCGTCATATAATTCTCTGCCCTACGTCACAAACAACGTCATTTACGTCATCAAATGTAGCGTAAAAAGACGTCATTGCTATGGTTTCAGTGAGATATACAAACGTAACACGAAAACAGTTTTATAGCAGAGAATAACAATATTTCTGAATATTTTTTGCAAAGGATTGTAAATTAATTATAAATAATAAGGAATGAGCACGGAAATAATTTTAACAGAAACAGTCAAAGGTATATGAAGTTATTTTGTTACTATAACGCTGAGAAAATAAGTCATTCAACGGAAGGTCATTGCATTCCAAAGTATTACTTAAAAGTATATATACTATTTTGTCACCATTTTACTAGTTTGTTTAGAACTTTGTTATTATATTTTCTTTACATATGTTCGTTCGTTCGTTAATTCGTTCCTTCCTTCCTTAATTAGTTCCTACCTTCCTTCCTTAATTCGTCTGTTCCTTCTTATCTTAATTCTTTCTTTCTTTCTTCCTTCCAACTTTCCTTCCTTCCTTCCTTCCTTCCTTCCTTCAATCATTCATTCATTCATTCACTATTTATTTATTTATTTATTTATTTATTTAAAGGCCCATTATCCGACAGAAATAATACTGATATAAAGTTAATCTAACCCCGTGACTTTTGATTTAAAATGTGTAGTAATCTGTGTACTTATTCGTTGGAAAATAAAGTCCGTCTAGGTTGAACATGAATAATGATTTGAAATATGTCTGAAAATCAGAATCAGAATCAATTTAAGAACGCCTATTGTGATACAATTCCGAAATATTCCGTTTCTAAACATGTTATATAAACAGAGAATACCATGCAAGTGTCTGATAATTACAAAATTTATCAGGTAAGGCTAAGAAAAAAAGGAGGACGAGGCTCTGCCGAGCTCTTCATTTTTTTCATGCCGAGAATGCCGATCACTTGTTTTGCATTCTATTATCATGATTATAATTTAACAATTAAGCTTTTTTTTCTTTAAATTTTAAATGAAGCAATAACCTGTCAAGAACCTCTCGAGTTCATACCGCGCGCAAAATGCTAAGGCTCATATGTTTAAGAAATAGTCCCAATAGTTTTCAGTCAAATGTAAACCAAAAATGTATTTGATTCAAAGTTTATCAGTTTAACATTTTCAAACTAGTACAAGAGTTCCTTTCATTTTATTTATATATGTGTGGTGCCTGATAAAGCTGATTTTATTTATTTAATGCAAGGGAGACAAGCGAGTTAGATAAATCGACAAGCTCCTCACAGTGATTACCTCCCTTTGCAGATTTGTACTGATACGGGGAGATCACTGCGTAGGTTTCAAGGTTTATTTGAATAAGTCAGGGCCCATATGGGCATGTGACAACATAAAACAGTACATACATACAAAATTATACAAAAGGGCAAATAATATGTAAAAACAAAATACTACAAAATGGCAAATTATAAATGGTCATACAACTCCATGATGTAATAAAATTACAGTAATAATTGGACGGAGTTAACTGATAATGGAGGATGAGAGAGAAAAATCAAAAATCATTGCGAGAAAAAAACAAAGAGAAAAGACATAAATCTAATAAGCTAACATTATTTAAATAATAACATAATATGTTTGCAAAATATGGCAAGTTTCAAAAGGACATCTTTATTACTATGGTTCATTAATTTTTCAAATTTTAAAGCACTTGGACGTTCATAGAAATATTTATCAAGATACAGCTTTCTTGTATTAACTAAATGTGAACATTCAAAAAGATAATGGAATTCATCGCCTAAAGAGTTACTGGTACATAGGTTACAAGTTCTAAGTTCTCTTGGAATATCATCAAACCTTCCTTTTTCAATAGGAAGTTTGTGATTCATACTTCTAAATTTAAAGAGAATTAAAGCTAAATTCATAGGTAACTTGCTGAGGTATGGCTCAAAACAAAAATCCTGTTTATAAATCCTGTAATTTAGACATTTACTGGAATTATTAATTGTACTCCTCCAATTTTGCATAAAATGATCACGCAGTCTTAAGTTGACAGTATTCTTGAATGAAGCAGGAGATTCCACATTTTGATTTATCCAAAAATGCGACAATCCAAGATCATTTAAATTATTTCGAACAAAACAGACCCAATCTGATTTAATATTATTCAGAGTATATAAATTATGAGTTGTTCTATATAGAATGCTGATTATCTTATCATGTTTAGAATTAACTATTTTATCCCAGTAATTGAGAGCTCTACTTTTAATTTGTGTTGAAAGTGGGGTAATACCCAACTCCTCATAAATCATAACATTTGGAGTACTCGAGATTGATAAAGCGATTGTACCTTTTGCACAATAATTTTTTGTCGCCTTGTTCCTAGTTTCTTTACCATAAAAACGCTGAGATTATCCCTTTGCCAAAAATAATGTTTTGTTTTGGTTGTAACTGTCATAAGATGCATGTACATGTATATATTTGTTTTTTGCAACAGAATATGTTTAAATCAAATCAGACTTGCATGTAAGTGAGTTGCACATTAAAGGGAAATCACTGCATAAAGAAATTGACCGTCATATTATTATCTCCCTTACGTCACAGACAACGTCATTTACGTCACCAAATGTAGCGTAAAAAGACGTCATTTCTATGGTTTTCAGTGAGCTACCCAAACGTACCACGAAAACAGCTAACAAATAATTCAAAATAATTTTTTGCATAGGATTGTTTGCATAATTATATATGATAAATTATAAGGAATGAGCAAGGATAACATGTTTTCAGAAGCAGTCGAAGGTATAGGAAATCATTTTATTACTATAATGCGTAGAAAATATGTCAATCTTCCCTTCTTTGAAACAGAAGGTCATTGCAGTCCAAATAATGACTGAAAAACTAAATTCTATTTTGTCACCATTTTTAGTCTACTAGTTTGTTTGTTCTTTGCATATGTTCCTTCCTTTCTTTCTTTCTTTATTTCTTTCTTTCTTTCTTTCTTTCTTTCTTTCCTTCCTTCCTTCATTCCTTCATTTATCTATTTATTTATTTATTTATTTATTAAATTAATTAAACAATTTATTTATTTTTTTATTAATTCATTCATCTATTTATTTATCCACCCCATCCCATCCCATATCCCCAATCCCATATCTCCATTTATTTATTTATTCATATTTATTCATATTTATTTGTTTGTTTGTTTGTTTCATTTATTTCATTTATTAAATTGATTTAATTAATTAAATAATTTATCTATTTATTTTTTTATTATTTTTTATTTTTTATATATTCATTCATTCATTCATTCATTCATCTATTTATTTATCCATCCCATCCCCATCCCATATCCCATATCCCCTATCCCCATCCCATAATTAATTAATTAATTTCCGACAGAAATGCTTTTAACTTTATTTTTCAAAAGCTTTTTAACTTGGGCGTTCCGTTATATTTTACAAAAAAGCTACTTAGTGGTAAACTACTTTAGCCATCTTTTGCTTCTGTTGCTTTTTTGGTATTAAGAACAGTTACAGTGATTTTGGATTTTGTATGGCCGTCAAATTCTAATTTATTTACATGAAGCTTTTATGAAAAAGAGTTTTACATTCGGTGCTACATTTGCTTTCATGAGGAAATAAGCATCTAATTTTAATATGCTTTAAGGCCATTTTTTATGTTTTAAAACTGATGTTTACCCGTTCTGAAGAATGGGCCTTTAATAATCAACCTACCACTTTTTAATTGCTTAGTTTAATGCACACTATAGAAATCACATTGTCAAGCGCGTTCTTCAGGTATAATAATTCAATTTAATATATTCAAAATTTTCCACATTTCAATTTCAGAACTGTCTTATTCGACAGCGAGGAGTAACGGTTTTGGAAGTGATTTGCCAGATGATGCGGATAACTTTACAAATACCGATGGTGCTGGGGATGGTCATGACGGACTTATTAAAGTCCTTAAAGATACAACGGAAGTCACTTCTACCAATAGAGATACATGTAACCAAGAGCGATTTGTTAGCATTATAGAAAAGAGGAAATTGGAGAGAAGGTTCGAAGAGGAAATGGAAATAAATTGGGAGAAATCTGAAAGAGTCGATGAAGAAAATATGGCAAGTAAGGTCGATAACTTATTAAGTAAACTCAAAAGTCGTTTCAGTGAAGAGAAAGAAGCTAGAAAGTATGCAGTGAAACAAAACCGATCATACTATAACTTTTGCAACAGTGTAGACGCTTTTCTTAGGCATGTAGAAAAACCCAAAGTTGATATCAAATACTCGGAAAGGAATGATGATTTGCAAGGCGAGGGAGTTTACAGTTTTGGTATAAGACCAGCAAGTATTAAAAGAAGAAATGTAAAAGCCAGTTCGTTTGAAAGCACTAAGATCGATGGGGTAAGCTATACTGATGCAATTAAGGAAAATATCGAAGAAGAAGTTGATAAAAGTATTGATGACTCTAGAAATGGAAAAGGCATCCACGAGTTATGTAAAGATGCAAAAGAGTCGCATGTTGCTTCTACCGACAACTCTTTACCGCTAGACAAAGCTGTTAAGTTACCAGCTACTTTACCCTCGATTTACCAGTCCCGTAACGACCATGCAAACGCAGCACCAATTGCAGACGACAATGTATTACTTCAAGTAACAGACGACAGTGGCCGCAATATTTCATTTACTACAATGACTGACAATATGTATAAAAGAAGCAAAGAACTTAAACCATTTGTATGTGCAAAGCCTTTCCCGCGTGCTGTAGGTCAAACATACATGTCAATGGTCGTTAAAGAAAGGTGCCTACAAGAAATGTATTTGAGAGGCCAGTACACACGTACATCCATATACACCAACACTACAAGATTTCAGTTTAGTAGAATTATCCCCGTTTTAAACAGGAAATGCTTAATGTACAAAATTAATATGAGTGTTCCATCAAAACATCTCAACAAAAGAGTCAGTTGCTATGCAGAGCAATTCTCGATGTGCTTAAAATCAGAGCAGAATGTTTATGGCTCTCCAGCAGACGATATTATTTATCCCAAATATGCACTTCCAGTGTATGGTTTACTTCCAGTGTATGGTTTTATGACATTCAAACCTGTTTTTGGAATTATTTCCGTGGTAACAATCGCATTTTCAAAAACAGATCAAGGTTACGCCTTAAACACTTGCATTAATACGCCGAGAAGTCTTGAAAATGTCGGATACCTGATAACAGAAAACTGTAATGCTATCGACACTTATCAAAATCTACCAGTTCAGCAGCCGACATTGAACGGACTCAACATATTCGGGCATGCTCATTGTCCAGAAAATTATGACACCAAACATCGAGAAGCCAAATCGTCTGAGTTCTTAAAACCGAGCCCCGAAGGAGAGCACGTAACAAATTACGTCACATCAACAGCAGACGATAAAAATGTTCTAGCAGACGACAATGAAGCAACGGAATACGAAAGAATAATTGACGAGTCCGAGGATGCAGGTCCTTTTGGGATAATGTCTATTTATAGGAACAGCGAGATTCATCATTCAAGGTATGTTTAGCCTTTTGATACAATCTCTCAAACTGTACCATCTTTCGATCAAATTGATACATTTTATATATTACACATCGAATTTATGTTGTGCAGCAATCATGGATAGTTTAATAAAGGGGCAAGCACTTACTTCGGCAAAATTCCATATTTACAGCTTCATTTTGACCATTTTAATAGCAGACGAATGTTCAATTTAAAGACAATAATTTCATTTGCTATATAAAGACGGAACATATAGGAAAAAAAGACAAAAATAGATGAATATATCTAAATACTCATGTATATAAATAAATATCCAGTGTATGGCATATTTTCCATAACATTACATTGTTGTCCAATTTCCAGTAGCTAACAATTTAATGAACAACCCTCACGACCATGCACTTGTACTTTTGGTCAAATATTTCGAAGGACAATTTAGGAAATTCCTTCAACATGTATTTTGCTATGCAAACATAAGAAAGTAATAATAAATTTAAAAAGTTTAAGGATGAATTAGCTATTTATTGTTAATCTGTTAACATTAATTAATTAAGTTCTTTCTTCGTGTTTGCAGGTATGACAATTTTCCAGCAGACGACACCTGGACTCACCGGAAGTGAGAGAATACAGATGATTTTGTCGGGAATTTTAAAATTATTTCCAAAATGTAATGGGCAAATAACAACTATTCAATGAACTTTGTTAATTAGTTTATCATATAAACTTTTCATATATAGTTATTTTGATATATATAAAACGTAAAAGTCAAGTTATATCTTTTTTAAGTTTCTTTTTTCTATACAAAAAGCCAAATGACCAGGAAAATAAAAGAATAAACAATATTTTCTCCGATATGATAAGCATTCAATTACATGGCATGTTCCTAAATAACATGATCGTACAGCCAAGTTTTTGTCTGTTTGCCTGTTTGTTTGTTTGTTTGGGGTTTACCTCACACCGACACAATATAGGTAATATGGCGACGTTCCAGCTTTACTCGAAGAGGAAGACCTAAGGTCCTTCCGTGCATTATTTCAGGCACGGACGGGCACCGTAGAGTAGAATCACCGATGTTCCGTTAGCTAGCTGAATAGCTTCCTCACATGAAAGAATCCAAAGTCCCTGTCGGGATTCGAACCCACAGCAGTGAGGGGCAAGTGGTTTGAAGTCAACGACCTTAACCACTCGGCCTCGGACGCCCCATATTCTGTCGTCAGTGCCATTGTCGTTCGCCAGGTGGTGCAATAATAACAATTAAAATGAATTCTCTAATTGGCATTTGGAACGATAGCAATGTCTACGATGGTGTAGTTAAAAGTGACGTTTGTCACTGTATAGAATTGTTCACTGGTAAGGAGAGAAGTTAGGGGCAGGATAGCTCGAGTGTCGCGGGTTCGAGTTCCAGTCAGGCTTCACAATATCACACACTGTCCTTAACTTTGAATTATTGGCCCCATATAAAGTTCGAACCTTCTAAGAGTATGGACCTTTTCAGTGTTTACAGTTTTATGTTAATTGGCCAACTTGTACTGACATAATATATTCACTGGTTGACCTGATTTGCACAAAAGAACACGTGGTTATGTTTGTGCAATGAATTGAAAAGGTGTGCTACGAAAAACCGGAAAGGTCAATGATGCGCGGATCCAAAAGACTGTGAGTCGGCTACTATATTATACTATGTACATATGATATATATATATTAGCATCAAGTTTTGGATATAACTTAAACGGTTTTAGAGAAAACAGTCACCCTAAATTGAGATTAATTACCAGTTACGTAAATCTAGTAAAACTGTATAATGATTAATCCCTCTCTCTCTCCCCCACCCATTTTTATTGAAATATGTATAACCCCTTGCCAAAATATTAAATGTTTTCTAACTTTTCTAAACTGTAAAACGACCACTAGTAAAAACACCTGAATTCGTACCTGCATTAAACTAGGTGCGTGTGTGATCAAAATTATTTACTACAGCACGTGCATAAATTAAAGAACTGCCTTCGTGTCTGAATTCAAACATTGATTACAGTTCTTGTCTGAACTAAAACTCTGTCTGAGACATGTGCCTGAATTAAAACAATTATTGCAACAAGAGTCTGAACTAAAACAATGCCCGCAACACGTACTTGAGCTAAAACAATGCAAACAACACGTGCCTGAACTAAAACAATGTCTGCAACATGTGCATGAACTAAAATCATTCGTGCAGTACGTGCCTGAACTAAAACACTTCCTGCAGCGCGTGCTTTAACTAAAACTTGGCTGAACTTTATTTCTGCCTTCATCATATACTTTAAATGAAACAATAACTTAACATATGTCTGAACATAAAGCACTTTCTGTAACGTGTGCGTGCACTAAAACAATGCATGCAGCATGTTTATGAACTAAAACAATTCCTGCAACATGTGCCTGAACTAAAACAATGCCTTCAACATGATTGTGTCTGAACTGCAGCACATGTCTATTGGATGCACTTGAACTGCCCACGTGACTGAACTAAAACAATGCCTTCAACATGTGTCTGAGCTGCAGCACATGTCTATAAGATGCACTTGAACTGCCACACGTGACTGAACTAAGACAATGCCTTCAACATGATTGTGTCTGAACTGCAGCACATGTCTATAGGATGCACTTGAACTGCCACACGTGACTGAACAAAGACAATGCCTTCAACATGATTTGTCTGAACTGCAGCACATGTTTATAGGATGCACTTGAACTGCCACACGTGACTGAACTAAGACAATGCCTTCAACATGATTGTGTCTGAACTGCAGCACATGTCTATAGGATGCACTTGAACTGCCACACGTGACTGAACTAAGACAATGCCTTCAACATGATTTGACTGAACTGCAGCACATGTCTATAAGATGCACTTGAACTGCCACACGTGACTGAACTAAGACAATGCCTTCAGCATGATTGTGTCTGAACTGCAGCACATGTCTATAGGATGCACTTGAACTGCCACACGTGACTGAACTAAGACAATGCCTTCAACATGATTGTGTCTGAACTGCAGCACATGTCTATAGGATGCACTTGAACTGCCACATGTGACTGAACTAAAACAATGCCTTCAACGTGTGTCTGAACTGCAGCACATGTCTATAGGATGCACTTGAACTGCCACATGTGACTGAACTAAAACAATGCCTTCAACATGATTGTGTCTGAACTGCAGCACATGTCTATAGGATGCACTTGAACTGCCACATGTGACTGAACTAAGACAATGCATTCAACGTGTGTCTGAACTGCAGCACATGTCTATAAGATGCACTTGAACTGCCACATGTGACTGAACTAAAACAATGCCTTCAACGTGTGTCTGAACTGCAGCACATGTCTATAGGATGCACTTGCACTGCCACATGTGACTGAACTATAACAATGCCTTCAACATGATTGTGTCTGAACTGCAGCACATGTCTATTGGATGCACTTGAACTGCCCACGTGACTGAACTAAAACAATGCCTTCAACATGTGTCTGAGCTGCAGCACATGTCTATAGGATGCACTTGAACTGCCACATGTGACTAAACTAAGACAATGCCTGCAACATGTGCTTTAAAAACCACATATAGACTGATCAAATTTATGTACATGTACCTGTAAAACAAGTCTGAACTAAAAGTACTGCCTTCAACATAATACTTAAACTACTGCACATGCCTAGGTTAATGCATGATGAGTGTCTTAGGTCTTCTTTCACAATTAATGCTGGAACTGAGTCCATATTGTACATGCCTATGGGTAAAACATGGGTCCTATTGGTCTAAAATGGGCACTGGAAAAACCAAGCAACTTCACAAGAAACAAAATGGTATGGACAACTAAAAGCAGATCTACTTTGTATCACAATCTTTAGCATTATAAAAAGAAAACAAAATTCCTGAACATGAATTTTATTGATAAAACATAATATTTTTTACATTTGAAAGGAATTTTTAAAAAATCAGAACAATAAAATTAAGAAAATAATGAGCAAAATTGATGGTCAAGGTCTTATAAAGGTCAGTATCTAAATTATTTGTTCATTTGGTCACAAGTGTTGTTTTGTCCATTTTGTTTTATCCCTTTGCCAAAAATAATGCTTTGTTTTGGTTGTAACTGTCATAAGATGCATGTACATGTATATATTTGTTTTTGCAACACAATATGTTAAGATTAAATCAGACTTGCATGTAGGAGAGTTCCACATGAAAGGGAGATCACTGCGTAAAGACATTGGCCGTCATATAATTATCTGCCCTACGTCACAAACAACGTCATTTACGTCATCAAATGTAGCGTAAAAAGACGTCATTGCTATGGTTTCAGTGAGATATACAAACGTAATCGAAAACAGCTTTTTAGCAGAGAATAACAAATATTTCTAAAGAATTTTTACACAGGATTGTTAACTTAATTATAAATAATAAGGAATGAGCACGGAAATAATTTTAACAGAAACAGTCAAAGGTATATGAAGTTATTTTGTTACTATAACGCTGAGAAAATAAGTCATTCTTCCATTTTTTGAAACGGAAGGTCATTGCATTCCAAAGTATTACTTAAACGTATATATTCTATTTTTTCACCATTTTACTAGTTTGTTTAGAACTTTGTTACTATATTTTCTTTACATATGTTCGTTCGTTCGTTAGTTCGTTCCTTCCTTCCTTAATTCGTCTGTTCCTTCTTTTCTTAATTCTTTCTTTCTTCCTTCCAACTTTCCTCCCTCCCTCCTTCCTTCCCTTCCTTCCTTCCTTCCTTCATTCATTCATTCATTCATTCATTCATTCATTCATTCATTCATTCATTCATTCATTCATTCCTTCAATCATTCATTCATTCATTCATTCACTATTTATTAATTTATTTATTTATTTAAAGGCCCATTATCCGACAGAAATAATACTGATATAAACTAAATCTAACCACGTGACTTTTGATTTAAAATGTGTAGTAATCTGTGTACTTATTCGTTGGAAAATAAAGTCTGTCTCGGTTGTACATGAATAATGATTTGAAATATGTCTGAAAATCAAAATCAGGACCCATTTAAGAACGCCTATTGTGATACAGTTCCGAAACATTCCGTTTCTAAACATGTTATATAAACAGAGAATACCATATGCTTGTGTCTGATATAAGAAAATTTAACAGGTAAAGCTAAGAAAAAAAGAAGGACGAGGAGCTCTTCATTTTTTCATGCCGAGAATGATAAATTTTATGATATTACACACTTGTTTGGCATTCTATTTATATCATGATTATATTTTTAACAATTAAGCATTTCTTTCTTTAAATTTCAAATGAAGCAATAACCTGTCAAGAACCTCTCGAGTTCATGCCGCGCGCAATGTGCTAAGGCTCATATGTTTAAGAAATAGTCCCAAATGTGTTTAGTCAAATGTAATCCAAAAATGTATTCGATTCAAAGTTTATCAGTTTAACATTTTAGTATAAGAAGTAAAATTTCCTATTTCCTTTTATTTTATTTCAATATGTGGAATCCTTTTAATTTATTTAATGCAAGGGAGACAAGGGAGTTATATAAAGCGACAAACTCCTCACAGTGATTACCTCCCTTTGCAGATTTATACTGATAAGGGGAGATCACTGCGTAGGAGATTGATAAAGCGAATGTACCTTTTGCACAATTGTTGCCTTGTTTTCCTAGTTTCTTTACCATAAAAACCCTGAGATTATCCCTTTGCCAAAAATAATGTTTTGTTTTGGTTGTAACTGTCATAAGATGCATGTACATGTATATATTTGTTTTTGCAACAGAATATGTTTAAATCAAATCAGACTTGCATGTAAGCGAGTTGCACATGAAAGGGAAATCACTGCTTAAAGAAATTGACCGTCATATTATTATCTCCCTTACGTCACAGACAACGTCATTTACGTCACCAAATGTAGCGTAAAAAGACGTCATTTCTATGGTTTTCAGTGAGCTACACAAACGTACCACGAAAACAGCTAACAAATAATTCAAAAGAATTTTTACAAAGGATTGTTTGCATAATTATATATGATAAATTGTAAAGAATGAGCAAGGATAACATGTTTTCAGAAGCAGTCAAAGGTATAGGAAATCATTTTATTACTATACTGCGTAGAAAATATGTCAATCTTCCCTTCTTTGAAACGGAAGGTCATTGCAATCCAAAGAATGACTAAAAATTTAATTCTATTTTGTCACCATTTTTAGTTTACTAGTTTGTTTGTCCTTTGCATATTGTTCGTTCATTAGTTCGTTCCCATTTTAATTCGTTCGTTCCTTCCTTTATTCGTGCGTTCGTTCCTTCTTTCCTTTAATCGTTCCTCCTTTCTTTCTTTGTTTTCTGTCTGTCTTTCTTTCTTTCCTTCTTTCCTTCCTTTTTTCTTTGTTTCCTTCCTTCCTTTATTACTTTATTTATTTATTTATTTATTTATTTATTCAATTATTCATTTTCATTTATTTATTTATTTATTTATTTATTTATTTATTTATTTATTTATTTATTTATTTTTTTTTTTTATTTATTTATTTATTTATTTATTTTTTTATTTATTTTTTTTTTTATTTATTTATTTTTTTATTTATTTATTTATTTATTTATTTATTTATTTATTCACTCACTCACTCACTCACTCACTCACTCACCAACTCACTCACTCACTCAATATAGAAATCACCTTGTCAAGCGCGTTCTTCAGGTATAACAATTCAATTAAATATATTCAAAATTTTCCACATTTCAATTTCAGAACTGTCTTATTCGACAGCGAGGAGTAACGGTTCTGGAAATGATTTGCCAGATGATACGGATGGCTTTACAAATATCGACGGTGCCGGAGATGGTCATGGCGGACTTATTAAAGCCTATAAAGATACAACGGAAGTCACTTCTACCAATAGAGATAGCCAAGAGCGATTTGTTAGCATTATAGAAAAGAGGAAATTGGAGAGAAGGTTCGAAGAGGAAATGGAAATAAAATGGGAGACATCTGAAAGAGTCGATGAAGAAAATATGGCAAGTAAGGTCGATAACTTATTAAGTAAACTAAAAAGTCGTTTCAGTGAAGAGAAAGAAGCTAGAAAGTATGCAGTGAAACAAAACCGATCATACTATAACTTTTGCAACAGTGTAGACGCTTTTCTTAGGCATGTAGAAAAACCAAAAGTTGATATCAAATACTCGGAAAGGGATGATGTTTTGCAAGGCGAGGGAGTTTACAGTTTTGGTATAAGACCAGCAGCAATTAATAGGAGAAATGTAAAAGCCAGTTCATTTGAAAGCACTAAGATCGATGGTGTAAGCTATACTGATGCAGTTAAGGAAACTACTAGTATCGAAGAAGAAGTTGAGAAAAGTATTGATGAATCTGGAAATGGAAAAGGCATCCACGAGTTATGTAAAGTTGCAAAAGAGTCGCATGTTGCTTCTACCGGCAACTCTTTACCGCTAGACAAAGCTGTTAAGTTACCAGCTACTTTACCCTCGATTTACCAGTCTCGTAACGACCATGCAAACGCAGCACCTATTGCAGACGACAATTTATTACTTCAAGCAACAGACGACAGTGGCCGCAATATTTCATTTGCTACTATGGGCAACTACTATGGGCTACTAAGAAGCAAAGAACTAAAACCATTTGTATGTGCCAACTTCACGTCTGCAAAGCCTTTCCCGCGTGCTGTAGGTCCAGGCTACATGCCCATGATCGTTAAAGAAAAGTACCTACCAGAAATGTATTTGAGAGGCCAGTACACACGTACATCTATATACACCAACACTACCAGATTGCAATTTAGAAGAATTATCTCTGTTTTAAACAGGAAATGCTTGATGTACAAAATTAACATGAGCGTTCCATCAAAACATCTCAACAAAAGAGTCAATGGAGAGCAGTTCTTGATGTGCATAAAATCAAAGCAGAATGTTAATGGCTTTCTAGCAGACGATATTATTTATCCCAAATATGCACTTCCGGTATGGTTTACTTCAGTATGGTTTACTTCCGGTGTATGGTTTTATGACATTCAAAACTGTTTTTGGAATTATTTCCGTTGTAACAATCGCATTTTCAAAAACAGAACAAGGTTACGCCTTAAACACTTGCATTAATACGCCGAGAAGTCTTGAAAATGTCGGATACCTGATAAGAGAAAACTGTAATGCTATCGACACTTATCAAAATCGACCAATTCAGCAGCCGACTTTGAACGGACTTGACAAATTCGGGCATGCTCATTTTCCAGATAAATATGACACCAAACATCGAGAAGCCAAATTGTCTGAGTTCTTAAAACCGAGCCCCGAAGGAGAGCACGAAACAAATTACGTCACATCAACAGCAGACGATAAAAATGTACCCGCAGACGACAATGAAACAACGGAATATGAAAGAATCATTGACGAGTCCGAGGATGCAGGTCCTTTTGGGATAATGTCTATTTATAGTAACAGCGAGATTCATTCCAGGTAGGCTAAATCTATGCTATTATATAAAGATTGTTCATATAGAGGTAAAAAAACAAATAAATATATGAACATATCTAAATATATAAAGAAATATCTAGTGTATAGCATATTTTGCCATAAAATACAACTGTGCTGTCCAATTTCCAGTAGCTTACAATTTAATGAACAACCCTCACGACCATGTACGTTGTACTTCCGGTCAAATATTTCGAAGGACAATTTAGGAAATTCCTTCAACATGTATTTTGCTGTGCAAACATAAGAAAACAATACAATTTTAAAAAGTTTAAGGATGAATAAGCTATTTATTGTTAATCTGTTAACATTAATTACTTTGTGTTTGCAGGTATGACAATGTCCAAAGCAGACGACACTTGGACTCACCGGAAATGAAAGAATACAGACGACTTTGTTGGGAATTTTAAAATTATTTCCAAAATATAATGAGCAAATAACAAATATGTTAAATAGTTTATTATACATACAGTACACTTTTCATAGTTATTTTGATATATATAAAAACGTAAAAGTAAGATTTAGTCAAGTTATCTTTTTTGTGACATTGTGTTCGCCAGGTGGTGCAATGAAAACAATTAAAATGAATGCTTTTTCAAATAACAATGTTTGGTGTAGTTAAGTGTATAGAATCGTTCACTAGTTAGGAAACGACAGGAGTTCAAGGGTTCGAGCCACAGGCAGGTTGCACAATAGCTCACCCTTTGTCACTTACTTTGAATCACTGGCCCCATATAGGGTTCGAACCTTCAAAGAGTATGACAAAACTATTGCATGTACGGATCCAGAAGATAACCACTCGGTGATTCGGCTATTGAATTTTACAATATGCATATGATATATATTAGCATCAAGTTTTGGATATAACTTAAACGGTTTTAGAGAAAACAGTCCCCCTAAATTTAGACTAATTACCAGTTACGTAAATCTAGTAAAACTGGTTAATGATTAACCCACCCCTTTTTATTGAAATATGCATAACCCCTTGCCAAAATATTAAATGTTTTCTAACTTTGCTATACTGTAAAACGACCTCTAGTATTAACACTTGAATTCGCACCTATATTAAACCAGGGACGAGTGTTAATAAACTTATTTACTGCAGCACGTGCGTGAACTAAAGAACTGCCTGCGTGTCTGAATAAAAACATTGACTACAGTTCTTTTCTGAACTAAATCTCTGTCTGAAACATGTACCTGAATTAAAACAATTCATGCAACACGTGTTCGAACTTAATCATTGCAACAAGTGTCTGAACTAAAACAATGTCTGCAACATGTACATGAACTAAAACAACACTTCCTGCAGCGCCTGCTTTAACTAAAACTTGGCTGAACTTTATTTCTGCATTCATCATATACTTTAAATGAAACAATAACCTATGCCTGAACATGAATAGAGGATATTGAATGAGTGTAAGTTCAATACTGAATTTATTGCACGAGTTGAATAAAATTATATTATGCGAGCCTCATGCAAGCATAATATTATTTTATTCAACGAGTGCAATAAATTCAGTAATGAACTTACACGAATTTAATATTCTATTTATCACATACCCAAAATAAAGACCATTTAAAGTGAAATAAGAGTCATTTTTCATTGACGCGCCTATAGTATAACGCTAACATTTAGCGCGTCTTTACACTATGTTTGTATTACGCTAATGGCGTCAGGTCAAAATATATGCACGGCCGTGCAATACCATATTTACGGAGTCGCAAAATCCGCACGGGTGTGTGATAAAGCACTTTATGAAACGTGTGCATAAGCTAAAACAATGCATGCAGCATGTTTAAGAACTAACACTTCCTGCAACATCTGAATAAACCAAAGCAATGCCTTCAACATGTGTCTGAACTGCAACACATGTCTGAATGGAGACAATATTTATAGGATGCACCTGAACTGCCACGTGTGACTGAACTTAAACAATGCCTGCAACATGTACTTAATACAAAATTCGTGTCTGAACTAAATCCATGCTTGAAACACGTGTCTGATCTTTAAGTTCCTCCAACACAAATTTGTAAACTAAAATACTGGCAGCAACACATGTCTGAATTAAAGCCCTGTATGCTGAACATCTAGACCAAAGAACTTTCTGAACTAATATATGAACCTGTAAAACAAGGCTGAACTAAAAGCACTGCTTGCAACATACTAGTAATACTTAAACTACTGCACAAGCCTAGGTTAATGCATGATGACCCGAGTGTCTTAGATCTTCTTTCACAATTAATGCTGAAAATTGAATCCATATTGTACATGTGTAAAACATGGGTCAATTATTGGTCTAAAATGGGCATTGGAAAAATTCACAAGAAACAAATTGGTATGGACAATTAGTAGCAGTTCTACTTTGTATCACAAACTTTAGTATTATAAAAAGAAAACAAAATTCCTGAACATGAATTTTATTGATAATACATGATATTTTTTACATTTAAAAATATTTTTTAAAAAATCAGAACAATAAAAATTAATCAAATGTATGCAAAATTCAATCAGCTGATCTTGATGGTCAAGGTCATTTAAAGGTCAATGTCATATCTAAGTTCTTTAACATTTTCAACAAGTGTTGTTTTGTCCATCTATGAATCAAATCTGTACATAAATTATTTATTATTTTTTATTTTATTTAAATGACAACAAAAATTCAATAATCTGACCTTGATCAAAGCAGGAAAAAAAATTTTTCATTAACTTGACCTTGACAGTCCAGGGCAATTAAAGGTCAAGGTCACATCTAAATTTTTCAATATGTTTTGTAATGGTAGCAAGTCTTTTTTTTTTTCCTGAAAAAAATTGACCTTGATAGTTAAGGTCATTTAAAACTTAAGGTCAATTAAACCTTCAAAAGGTTGTGTTGAAAAGGTTGGTTTGTCCAAATATGAAGATAATCTATTTATAAATTCATTACATTGCACTAAATTGTAGTCAATTATAGCAAAAATCTGTGAAAATTCAAAAATTTAACTTTCAAACACTTTAAACTTCAAAGTCAAAGTCACTATGGGTTTGACACGCTTGAAGGTCTTATCCTAAAGAATGTTGTGTCTAAGTATGAAGTAAATCCATTAATTAATAACAAAGTTATAGCTAGTTACAGCAACAACAAAAAAGAAAAGAAAAATTCAATAATTTAGTTTAACTTGAAGGTCTATCCTAAAAGATTGTTGTGTTCAAGTTTGAACAAAATCTAATAATATTATATTAATATTTTTAATTATTAATTAATATATATTATAATAATATTATTCAAAAATAATCAAAGTCATAGCCACTAATAGCAAAAATCAAGCAATTTAGACATCTTGAAAGTTAAGGTCATTTATGAATGAAGGTCAAGTTTAGTCTAATCTACTAAAGGTCTTATCCCAAGGGTTGTTTCGGCCAAGTATGAATTAAATTCACCAACACCTAAAAAAGTTATGATCAAGGTTAAAGACAATACATCTATTTTTCTTCTTTGGAAAACAAGTCAGGCTAAAAAGGGAAATAATTAGAGCTGTCATCGTAAGAAACGATATTGGTGTATCGTTGATATTTTTCCTTCAATCAATAGTCAATGTTTATTTCAAATAAATAGTTTTCAAGATAATGAGCGGAAACAATTCTGAAATTTAAGGCCCCTGTGACATTGACTTTTGAACTAGTGACCCCAAAAGCGATATGGGTCATCTGCTGGTTATAGCAATCACTATGTGAAATATGAAGACTTTTTGATAATTATCTTTCAAGATAATGAGCTGAAATCATATTAACATTCAAGGACCCTGTGACATTGACCTTTGACCCCAAAAGCAGTAGGGGTCATCAACTAGTTATGACCAATCAATATGTGAAATATTAAGACTTTGTGATAAATAGTAACAAAGATAATAAGCGAAAATCATACTACCATTCAATGCCCCTGTGACCCTGACCTGACCTAGTGACCCCAAAATCTATAGGGGTCATCTACTATTTATGACCAATCAATATGTGAAATATGAAGACTTTGTGATGAATTGTTACCAAGATAATGAGTGGAAACCAGTCTGACATTTTATTTAAAGCCCATGTGATCTTGACCTTTGACCAAGTGACCCAGAAACCAATAGGGGTCATCTACTAGTCTAGTTATGACCAATCACTGTGAAATATGAAGACTTTGTAATGAATACTTCAAGATTATCAGCAGAAACCATTCTGACATTTAGGGCCCCTGTGACCTTGACCTTTGACCTAGTGACCCCAAAATCAAAAGGAGTCATCTACTAGTAATGATAAATTGCTATGTGAAATATGAAGACTTTGTGATGAATTGTTACCATGATAATGAGTGGAAACCAGTCTGACATTTTATTTAAAGCCCATGTGATCTTGACCTTTGACCTAGTGACCCAGAAACCAATAGGGGTCATCTACTAGTCTAGTTATGACCAATCACTATAGATGTGAAATTTGAAGACTTTGTGTTGAATACTTTTCAAGATAATCAGCGGATATTTAAGGCCCCTGTGACCTTTGACCTAATGACCCCAAAAGCAAAAGGGGTCATCTTCTGGTTCTGGTTATGACCAATCACTATGTGAAATAAGAAGACTTTGTAATTAATAGTTTTCAAGATAATCAGTGGAAACTATGTGGTCTAAGGACGGACAGACCAACTGACATTAGCAAAACAATATACATGTACCCCCTCTTCTTCGAAGGGGGGCATAAAAATTGATAATTTTAACATATTAATTAGATGTCTAGATATTAGGAAAATTCACCCAAGCCCATGTCTTACATTTATCTGTTGTTACATAGTGGAAATATTTCACAGCAATGATGATAAAAAAAATGGTCTGGATTAAAATCATGAAATGCAATTTATAAACAAGACATGGAACAGAACAGAACATGTTTTTAACTGAAATTATTTAAATACGTTTCCGGAGTTTTCATATAGACATATAGGCAAAATTAAAACTGTTCAATAGAATTTCTTTGAACTTGGCATTTTATTAGAATAATAAATTTAGTGAACTCAAAAACGAGAACGGTGACCCCAATTTTTTTCACTTAAAATGTTTCTGTTATCATATTCTAACATCATGCCAAGTTTAAAGAAATTCTATTGAGCAGTTATCATGTATAATTTTGCCTATATGTTCATTATTATGAAAACTCCCAAAAACGTCCTTAAACAGGTACATGTATAAAAGTGAATGACAGACAAGTAATTTTAGGTAATTATCAATTATGATAGTTATCATAATTCCAAACTAGATCAAATTTGTAAAGCGTAGTGAATATGTAATCTTCACTGATTAACGAGGCATGCAGCACCTATACTTATACCTGGGTGAGAAGAATAGTACAATTAATCATTGAATAGTCAAGCTTAAAGGGACTCCACCCTGTTTTTTTACATGACAGGACTTAAAATATCTTTCCAAGATCTGTGTACCAACTAACAAAGGTCTGGACCAATAACTTGTGTGCAAAATTTCAGGCCTTTCCCTCGCCCCGTTTTCCTAGAACAATCACTTTTATGATGCAAAGTGACCCAACAACTAAAAGTGTTGCAACGCTTTTAACTCAAATTTGGGTAAAAATCTCATAAAAATTAATTTCAAATTAGTTCTGAGTATAATTCTTTATCATCCTTTGCAGTCTTTTTCCATTTTTAGTGCTTTATTTGATTTTTGAAAGGTTTTCAAATTTTATGTTTTAGGCCTACGGTCACCTCAGTTGAGTTCCTTTAAGTACTTTTAGTTTAAAAGCCATGCTGCCTTTCATCAGCACTAAGTGTTACAGATTTTAGCATGCTTCTTTATATTATCATAGCCTTTTATCCCCGCCTCACATTTAACACATTTGTAAACATTTCCAGTTTCCATTCTGTGCCGTTCTTCGTGCTGCTGAAACGATTTTAACTCAACATAATCTTTGTTACAAACAACACATATATATCTCTTGCCATTGCACCGCTTTTCATGTTGTTTTAATTCTGCTTCACACAAAAATCTTCTGTTACACACCACACAAACATGTTTCCTTTCAGGGGCTGTAACTCTGGCCAAACTTTTTTCAGACTTGTGATTTCTTTTCACATGCTTTAACAGATTACTGTTAGTCTTAAAACCTTTATTACAATATTTACAGAGAAACGTTCTTTCCGCAGCATGACACAGCACATGGGTTTTATAGTGCGACTGAGTCGTAAAGGTCTTCGAGCAAACCTCGCAGCTGTATGGTCTATATCCTGTATGCTGGGCATATATATGCACCTTCAGTGCGTCTCTCCTGATGAAGCCTCGGCCGCAAAGAGAACAATGAAACGGTTTGTTCTCCGAATGAGTGAGCAAGTGGCGTTCTAACTGACATCGTTTTGCAAAGCGTTTGTCACACGTGTCGCAATGATATAACTTCTTGCTCTTGCGTTCAGGTTCTTCAACAACACGGCTTATACCATAATCCTCATCAGGCAACTCAATTTTACATGCTACCTTACCAACATAGTTTTCCTTATTCTCATTATCATCAGCGCTAGCATTAGTAAAATCTGATGACTGGGGCATGTCAGTATCACCATTTTCTGTTTGTGATTCTATCTTTGGAGTGTCAAACTGATCATTAAGCATGACACAGTTTTTACCAAACTCAACAGGTTCGTTATGTTTTCTTTTCATATGTTTACTCAGATCGCCTCTATATTTGAATTGTTTCTCGCACAAACAACAGGAGAGCCTGGCTTGAGGAAGGTGGTAGTTCATATGTGCCACTAGATTATGCTTTAATGCAAAGGCTTTGCTACAAATGTCACATGTATATGGTCTCTGACCTTGATGAACGGAGCTGATATGCTCAAAAAGGCGATTTTTACGGATAAATCCTTTCCCACATAGAGAGCAAGAAAATGGTCTTTCTCCAGTATGCGTGAACATATGTCTTTTCAAATTTCCAAATGTTGAGCAAATTCTATTACAGAAAATGCATGTGAGATCCAGAATACTATTTTGACATGAATTTAAAACACCAAATCTATTAGCTGCTGTTTCAACAGGCTTATTTTTAACAATTTTATTATGTTCTTCATGATATTCATCTTCCGTGCCTGAGTCAGAGGTTACATTTTCGAATGTCCTATTTTCAGCCATACATTTAGCAAATGAATTTGATGATGTTTGATCAAAACTGGCTTTTTCAGTTTTTCTTCTCAATAATGGGATGCCAACAATTTCTTGATATTCATTTGGTAACTGTTTACCACTTTTCTGCTTGTCTTGTTTTGTTACGCTAACCTCCTTTGTGTTTTTTCTTATCTCCTTTTGTAGATTTTTGCTCTTTCTGCCAAATTCTTTTCTGTAATTGGAGGAATATGTGTCATTTGACCGCTCTAAACTGATCAATTCAAGCTGCCCCTTAACACAGCTTGATCTCAAATGTTTCAGCCTTCTTCTTTGTCCGGACCTTAATGACCGGCCTGATGATGAATTCATTGTAGCTGGTTTTAAAACTGAAAAAAAAAGATAAAAGATTCTCTTTATCATAAGGATGTAATAATTACATAATATTTATTTAAAGATTGCTTTGATACTGTTTTGTAACTTTAACTTTATTTTAAAGGCCCAAAATACCCCAGAAATGCTTTTATTTTCGTATCTCAAATTACATGTAGCTTCTTCTTTTTGGTGTCCCGTTAAAGTTCGAAGTCAAAATACTACTTTCTTTACACTTTCTTCCTTTATGACAATTAATTTCACATTCAGCAGTATGTTCTTCATGTCATTAACAATGCTCATTCACCATTATTTAAACATTATAAAATTATGTTTTCCCTTTTTAAAATAAGGGGAAAAAAATTGTTTCCAAGGCACAATGTGCCTTTAAAGCAGCAAGCCTCCGGATTCATGCTAATTTTCATATTATTAAATGAACAAACAAAAAATTACACATTGTAAAGCAACTCTTACAACCAATTTAAATAACTAAAAAAACTAGTGCTTACTGCATTACTTATTAGTAACACAGTAGAAATATGTTTAAAAAATCGGTCCTTAATCACATATACATGTACAGTGATATCATACAATATTGATTCTTTTTACTTTTCTTTCTTAAAAGCTCAGTACATTTTCCTCAAGAAATGTTTTGGCGAGGCATGCAGCTTTAAGCTTGCGTGTTAAGAATACTCTTAAAGTGTCTTGACCAAAGTACCAAAGGTTCAAACCCGCAACTCCTCAGTTCAGAGGAAAGACACTTTAATTACCACTTGGCTACTGCTCCCCTTGTACAAATATTGATTGTAATTAATAATATATAACCTGCCTAACTTCAACAAAAAATTGACTGCATTTTTTAATCTGAAAGGACAAATTAACTTGGGACTGTAGTGAAATTTTAATACATGTACTTTCAACAGCTTGATAATTCTATATATTGTCACCTTAGTGAAGTAACAAATTAACTCTTCTCAAATTATTTAAACAGTTAACCCGTTACTGAATTAAGTAGAAAATGTAGTATTATGCACATTAAGCATCAGTTAAGGTCAAAATTTGATTAAATTCCCTCTTTTATAAAGAATGAAGCAACCATCCATGATTATAAATAAACCCATTGAGTGAATGCATGAATAAAGCATCCAGTGAAGTTGTTATATGTATAATACGTAGAGAGTTAAAATTATAGTACAAATTTAAACTTTCACAAAATTGTTGTGCAACCCTGAGTTAAAAATACCCATACATTGTATAAATAATTGATGCTTTCAGCTTTCAGCTTGACTTAACAACCACTTCTAGTTGACAAGGCCACAAAAATAAAGAACTGTTTCTAATTCTCCTCCCCAAGCACCCACCCACTCCCCCCCCCCACCCACCCCCCAACTTTCCCAACTGAAGAAGAGGGTAGGTTACAGTACAATGATTTTCTTTAATTTTAAATTTTTATAATATTTATACATTGTATAACAGTTACTGTTTACATTATGTTCATGTACAATACTGTAGTATTTTGTGTTGTAAATTTAAGATTAAAAACAAAACGAGTTAGTAGTCTCCAGTCAGCAGGAAGGGACAGAGAATCTTTTTCCCCCTATGTTAAACCCCTTTACATCACCATAAATTTGACACTCCTGAACTTCAAGGAGTTGCTTTTGTTAAAAAAAGAAAGCCATTACAAATGTGAATGAAATGTTTGACCGCTGAAAATGGGGATATATTATGTAATAAATTGACCACAAATAAAGTCTTTCAGAAATCAGTAATAAATTTGAAACTACACAATGTAGCTCTGCAAATCTGTATTTTTAAATGTTGAATATGCTATACTAGCATGTCCTTTCACTTTTCATATATTGCAATATATTGAAAATTTAAAATTTTACTATAAACTTTTAATATTAAGTTAAATAAACATAATGTTTTCTTAAAGATACAAGTGTAATCAACTTTTTTTATAACTTACTTGACTTCAAGTGGCATTCATGTATTAATTGTTTAAACTTCTTCATTTCCAATGCCACTTTTAACAACTTTTAAAATCTTTTATAAAAAGGACCTCTTATCATGTTATGTACCATTAATTTAAACATAATATTAAACAATAAACACCTCAAGTCAAGGTTCTGTTGTTCTAACCATTGATTTTCAAGCAATAAAGTATTTTACATTGTTCACAATGCATCGCAATATGTTGTGCAATGTGTCAGAAAATATTGCAATATATATCACATTATGATTTTTCTTTACAATTCCCACCACTACAGACTTAGTTTGGTGTTTATTCAACCATTGGTTCTGTAGGAGAAGGTCCTTGGGTGTGAGTTCCATGTGACCAGAATTGATAATTATGTACCAAGTTTTCTGGGGACAATCAAATAATTTGATACAGTCTTACAGATATTATTCAATGCATAAAAATTACCCAACTTTTTTAAATTAAAATATAATTAAACACAATAATTGTGGTGGAGCACTTTTAAGAATATGTCTGTAGCAAAATCCTAACCCTAACCCTCTGTCACGGTTCAGAACTGTTCATTATTTAGGGGAGATAATGTCTAAGTGGCTGGATAGCTCAGTCGGTAGAGTCGTGGTACGGTATTCCGAGGGTCCTGGGTTCGAGTCCCAGTCAGGCTTCACATTTCTCTCACCCTGTGACACTCCAGTCTTTCAAATAGAAAGACCCTGGACACTCTAACCATAACCCTCACCTGGGACAGAGAGATACATTATTATTCCCGGCCATAAGCTAGGACCTAAATTATGTCTTAGCCCTATTAATCAGATAATTTAGATAGACCCGGTGTCTAAACCAAGTGTATATGTATGTTTAAGGTTTATCCATTTTTCTTTAGTGCATAATATACAAGTTTTACTTCTGAAAGAAACATACTGTAGTGATCTAGATCTAATCCGCAAGACAAAATAGCTGCAAAGACAAATTCATTTGACAACTTCAACTGTTCAACAAATTCATTAGGCGTGATTCAGATAATTAATTTATGATATGAATAACCAATCAAAATGCACGAATAATATCTTGCAGAAAATTATAAATATTACCTGCTCAAGATTCTCGTACTGTGCGTGAATCACTGTTCTTGTTTGACTTCTTTGTTGTCAACATTCAAATTCGACGCGGAAAACACCTTTTGTATCAATAAAAGGGCAGTAACTTTGTATAGTTTCACCAAACTATCAGACTACAGTACCCTGCATTAAACTGACTAAAGTATTAATGTGATATTCCTATTGCCAATATCAAACCTATTATTTTTCATAAAGAATAAAATAAATATTACTAACTTGACTTATGAAACAGATAGTTTAATAAGTTGTTGTCTTGAAGGTCTAGATAGATGATTAATTCGGAGTTATAAATAACATGTAAAATGGGAAAGTGTGCGGGACCGGGTCCTGTGCAGAACCGGGTACACTGACTCTATACGTATATATATCTGGTTAAGTTGCCAACACAGCAGGTCCAGAACTACTAAGTTGCATGTTAGAACCATCGTCGGATACCCACGGCCGAACCATTAACATTTATCTGCATGTTATGTGACATGTTTATCAATCGTGGGTATCCGACGATGGTTAGAACGAACAACTACATGAACTAGATCAGAAATTTGCCTGTTAGAAGACAGGAACAGACACGTCGAACAGCCAGATAAGTAAGTTGTTGAGAACAACTAGATCAGTAATTAATTATATAAAACAGCTATATATTGGAATGGCAAGATTTGTAAGTTATCTAACAGAACAGCCTTATTAAGTTGTTTAATAAACAGAACAGCTATATTCGTAATATTCTCTTGATTTGTAAGTTGTCTTCTACGCGTGGAAGGAAGTGTTACACGAGGGATGGAGTTCTTATGATAACTTGTCATAGTCCATTTTTCATCGCCTCTTGCTTAAAATCTGGTAGTTTTGAGTAAAATTTTCAAAGTATTAGCCAATTCGCAAGTATTAACCTGTTTATTTTTGGTCTTCATCCTTGCCATACATATTTACCTAATTATAATGCAAAAATGCAAACATAAAGCCCCGACTAACAAATTTATACCCGATTTTTCAAATGTCCCGGAGTTCAAAGTGTGAATCCTCAAAATATGTCCTGGAGTTCTTATGATAACTTTTTTTACTGCCAATGTGTTTCTTGCGCTAAATCAAAGCACGTTTTAGCGTTTTTATTATCCATTTAGGTTGGAAATACTTATCAAATATAATTTTTACGCTCATCCTTTGCACAAAGTTATCATAAGAACTCCATCCCTCGTGTAACACTTCCTCCCCCGGGTTCTAGAATAGCCAGATTGGTAAGTTGTTAATTAAATATAACAGCTAGATCGGTAATATCTTTTAGAATGGAACATTCTAATGGTAAGTTGCCCTTTAGAACAGTCATATTAGTAAGTGGGACGGACTATGTTCTTATTCTTATTTATAATCTAAGAATTTCTTGCGGCGTTGGTTCATTCAAACTCTGTCAAGGTCTCTATTGTAACATAGAATGTTTCCGTTTCTTAGTACACAAAAAAAACAAAATGTTCCGGAACAAAACATCACGCTGCTGTCTGATGTAAGCTTTTACCGTTTAGCAATGATTTCACGCATACAGCATTTGCTCAAAAAGATATATACTGGTCAGCATATTTTTACTCAGACATTTTGTAATGATTCTTTTTCAAAGTTCAAACAAAAGTTTAAAACTAACGACTTTTCTTTCATCTTTCATTTTATTCATACAATGAGGATACTACATGTACATATAAAATCTAACTAATGTTCATAAATAAATGATTATTTTTCATACAAATCATGATCATAGAACAAATTTAATTATATCTAAATGGAAGACATTGGATATTTGGCACAAAAACAACACAAGTAGAAAAAAAAGAATGAAATACATAACGAATAATATCATATTGAAAACGGGAAATAAACAATAGAGAATCCTTTCTTAAGTGTTAATTATCAATACTGATTCAAAATATGATAAAGATGGTTACTCAGTAACATTTTGGTACTATAAAAAGTACAACACAATTTTCAAGCTTTTGAGAAATAAGAAATAAAGGCATGGAGAAAGAAACAAGGTTTTTGATTTTAGACAGCAGACGATAAAAACTTCCGTGGCACCTTTTTTTATTTAATTTGAGAATGATGTCATAGATTACATATGCAATTGCAAAGGGATTTGGATTAAAATTGAGGCACAAGCGGGCACCTGAAAATAACCATCGACCTTCCTTAAGCTAAACGGGAATTTTTTTAAGGGAAAAATAAAGTTTTAAAGGGGATTGAGGGGAAAATGTAAAATAAAAGAAAAAAATTTTTGGTTCGGTGTTTTCCCCTTTTAATTTCGGGTTTTTTTTTGTAAAAAATTTTTTAAACTATTTGTTTTTGGGTTTTCGTGTTGTACATTTTTATATTTATTCATTTTATTTCATTTTTGAATGGTAATTTCCTTTGTTTTGGGGTTTTTCGAGTTACGGGATTGAAAAAATCTTTAATAGCAGATGGAAATTGAAACATTTTTTGAAAGTAAAAAATGTGTGTTTGATGGAAAAAGAAAAAATAATTCAATATATTTCGGTTTTTAACAAAATTTGGATTACCCGTGTGAAGTATTTCCACCTTCTTTTTTTTTTCTGTCGGAAAAGAGAAGAATGAAATAGGTTTAGATGCATATTGGGTGTTCTTCGTAAAATAAGCAAGATAAAAAGGAGCGGAGCTTGCGAAGCGACTGTAGCTTTCTTATTTACGAAGAACATCCAATATATGCACTCTAACCGGCTTAGTGCTCCGCCCACTTGCGTTTTATAATATAAAACGTCCAGTTTATATAAAATCTGTTCTATTAAGATTTGAAGCCTGAAAATTTGAAAAATCCTCGTCGGTGATTGGCTTAAAAAAATTGGCGTAAATGTCGTTTCAGTGTAAGTATTTCAGTAATTTTATTTTGGAAAAAATGCATCATACAACTGTTAAACCTTCTTCAAAACAGAGCCCCGAGAGCTACATTGTATTTATAACGTGACGTTAGTTTCTAAAAATAGTCGGGAGAAGAATTTTCCGCATTACTAGTGCAGACCGAAAGAATATAGGTCTCAAGGGAACAGCAAATTTAATTTTCCACCTTAATTCTTAATAACATATTCAACCTTTAGAAAAACCGAAAGCCGCTTTTAAATATGCAAAAAAATATTCCCAATTCAAGGGATACATAACATTGAAAAATATGTCAGTATTTACTATACTATCAGCGAGTGGTAAGTTCTTTGGATGGTTAATAACTTAGTAAATTTACATAGAATTCACAAAATTTTAACCAAATAGAACATTTTTTGTCCAGTTTTTTAAACAAAATACCAGAAAACTCCGGAGATGTGCTGCAAAAAGCTAGCTATCTTATAATTGGCAAGAGTTTCATCGAGTAAAACATTGTTACATATATATTAAAAAATTTCAATATGTACATATAAAAACTACATAAAAACATAATTATATGAGTGTAATGAAAAAAGTTATGCTATTGGCACATAGGGAACACATTAAAAACAATAAAAGTAAATAAATACAAAACATAATACAATGTACATGAATTAAAGCTGCATGCCTCCAGATGAGCCGAAATAATTTCAAGACAGTCAAACTTGAGAAAAAATATATTCTAAAATTTTCAGAAAAGAAAAAATATCAAGATTTAAATAATCATTTACATGTTATTTATATGTGTTTAATGATGATTTTGCAGTATTTAACAATTTTATACAATTCTAATGCGTGACTAACACAATAATGGCTATTTTACATATTCTGACCACTGTTTGGTAGTTTACATGCATTGTAGGATTTGTGAGCGCCGTTTGCAACCTGTTTATTACCTTTTTGTTCACTTCACACTATTTTTAGTTTTAAATACATTTTTTTAATTTTCATAAATAAGCATGAATCTAGAGGCATGCTGCTTTATATGTAATAATATGTTATAGAGGCAAGAATATGCAATAATTAATATCAGTGTTATAATAATTACACACTAATTTGACCTGTTCACATTATGAATCAATCTCAAATACATGTGTGTAATAATTCTATTATGTAAAATAGTTTTATGTTAATTTGATTCTATAAATAGCACAATTAAATCGAAGCATTTCGTGACATAGAGTAAAAAAGCGTCTAAATGAGCTAGACCTTTAGTTTGGTACCCGGCTCCAGTTGACATTGAAAGGCATGGACGCACGCAACGCGTTACCAGATACGTGATCTATGTCAATCAAAATCAAATTAAGCCGAAAGCAGCCGAATAACTCAAAACTTCAGTGCTAATTAATTTGGTCTTACAAAATATACAAGTTTTGATTATTATGTAATAAAACGAAGAATAGTATGCACTCTAAATAAAAGAATGCAATTGCACAAGTCAATGTTTGGCACATGAATTAATACTGCAATAAACACAAAAATATGATGACATCTAAACAATCAACACATTTTTCATCAAATAATAATATTACAAATAATAAAATCTTTTGAAGAGAACAAAATCCACGATGGGCAAAACGTGTACTCGTATTATTTAAAATGAATATAAAACCGAAAGATTTGTGCACACAGTCTTTCAGGGACGGATCCACCGGGGGCTTAAGGGGCGGAATGCGTAAAAGGGGGAGTTTAGTGATTCCAAACTTAAGCCCCCCCCCACACACACACACACCCAACCGAAAATTTCGGGATCTGACCCTGGACTCTTTGACAATAAAAGATAAAAATAGGATTTAACAATAAAACTACAACATTCAAAGGCAAGCACTGGCTATTTACTAATCTGTGTAACAGATAAAATATATCCCTTCAGCACACTCCTTTGCGCTCATTATAAGTCCTTTGCGCACATTAAAGTTACTAGAACGGGTAAACATCCCGTTTGTGTCGATTGTGTCCGAATGTTATAGCACCAAATGTTTGATCATTTATTATCCGATTGTTACGTACATCTACCTTTACTTGACTGTTCTAAAAATACTGACTTTCAAATCTGAAAAATGTAAATAAAAAAGGTATTAAAATATATTTTCAGAGCAATTTTCATTTTTTTTTATAGTGGCTTTTCATTACAATTAAGAAAATGATTTGTTTTCATTATTAATCACGGAGCAAAAATTGAAAAGAGAGCCAAGAAATTAAAAGAGAGCCAAAAAATTAAAAAAGAGCCAAAAAAAAGGAGAAAGATATCAAATTCTAATTAGTGAGTCACCTCAAAAGCGGGGCAATATTTTTAGTCAAAATATTTTAGTAAGGTTCCTCCAGTTTAATGTAAAGGTACAAAAATGTCCCTTTATTTAAAAATATACATTTATATAGAGCTTAAGAATAATAACAAAGGGATTTTGTTTGGTTTTAGGGCGCACCAACACAATGTTAGGTCATAAAGCGCCGAACCAGGAAAGATGAATTTTGGGTAACCTTGGCTGTTACAAACATACAGTAAACACCTGAGGGTCAAAACCACCTCATCCGCTGAACAAACTGAAGGATGCATAGACTCAATGAGTCGCCTCTTACAACCACTCAGGACTAAACAGTGGAGGCAGTTCTGATGTCTCAACCCTTAAAGGCAACCCTCAGTCACTAGGGGCAGTAAAATGGGTGATAAGCTTTGTCACTATAAACGAAATATAAAACATCAAATATTTCAAACTTGCCCAGTGCGCATTGAGACTGCCCCTCCTGTACCGGACGATCTAGACGCTGCGTGACCGGAAGTTGCGTCACGTCCCTGACAAGTCGGCTCTCTGTAGAATATATATGTCCAAAAGGTGTTATAATAATGAAAATTAAAAAAAAAAATAATTAAACAATAAAAGGACAAAAGTGTTACGAGCATAAGTAAGTTCTGTTACGCCATTTTCTGAATCGACAAACATCGGTTAATTCCGTATGCTCAGGGAAGGGGGGAGGTAATGATTGTGATGGAATTAATAGAAAGCAAATGTGATGTTCTACTTTCGGACATATATGGGCATTCGTAACATCTCGGCAGTAACAAATTTTCCGAAGTTTGACGTAAAGGCCCTGAAAGTTGGCGATTGGTCTGATGTAAATGCTTACGATTGTTGTGAACAGTTCACTTTTAAAGGCCCATAATGCCTCAGAAATGCTTTACTTTTTATTTCTTAAAAAATGGTTATTTGCCACAAAGATAAACTAAATATACTTCTTTTGCTCTGTTTGCAAATGGTATAACTATAGTGAATTAGTATTTTGTATATGGAAGTCAAATTACTACTTTGTTTACATTTTGCTACCTGAACATCACATTACTGCACGTTCAGCCTATTTTCTTAAAAAAAAATGGTCTTCTGATCGAGGCATTATGTGCCTTTAAATAAGCGATGCTCACCAAAAGCGGATCTTTAAGTTATGAAAGGGAAGTAACTCAAACATACCTAGAAATACTGTACGGCGGTGGAGGATCGTCGACGGTTGCAGATGTTGATGGAATGTGAGGTCTTGTCCGGCGATCCCCGTCGCTGTAATATTCAAACACACTAGCCTCGCTATGGCGAAAATCTGCAAACAATAAGTTGGTTAAGATATCAAAATAATAAAATAATAAAATAAAATTAATCAGTAAACTCAGGGGCAAATTTTAGTAAAGATTACCTTTTTCATAATTTAAATTATGAAGTTTTTTTATTTGTTTTACGTCACACCGACACAGAATAGGTCGTATGGCGACGTTCCAAGTTTCCTGGTGGAGGAAGACCTAAGATGCCCTTCCGTGCATTATTTCAGGCACGAACGGGCACCTGAGTAGAACCATCGACATTTTGTAAGCTAGTTGAATAGATTCCTCACATGAAAGAATACAAAGTCCCTGTCGGGATTTGAACCCAAAACGGTGATGGGCAAGTGGTTTGAAACTAGGAAGTTACAGTAAGTGTTATTATTTGTATATATATTATGTATTCACCGTATGAACTGCGTTGATAATTTTGTGTAGATCTATGAACTTGAGCCCGAGAATCTTGCGCTCCTCTTCGCTGTTCATTTGGCGTCGTATTGGTACGGGTAGATAAATGCCAGTTTGGATCCCTTGAACTCATTGCTGCAGAAATTGCCATCGATCCACTTGGCACGTGATTAAATCCGGGAGCCGACGGTTGAGGACGGTGAGCATGCGCACTTGACTGATTGACTAGATCACGTGCCTGTTGCAAAGCAGACGACGCTGTGACCCTAACGTTCGTTATATTTTCAGGATTACTGCGGGTATTTGAGTCTCTGTTAATGTCTGCTGGTATAGTTTCATAATGATGCTGATCTGATGGATTCGCGGAAGTGTGTGTGTCAACTCTAATATGATATCTTGGGAGAATACTTCCGCTTTGAGTTTGACCCCGGTTTTCGCGACTGCTAGCTGGATTTCTATGCACGTGCGCGGACCTTGCGACGTTTGTTCTTGTGTTTATTTGCGTATGAGATTGTCTTTGAGCGTTTGAATGAGGTGTTGTTTGAGTTTGAATGACATTTTGTCTTTGAGGCACGATTTGTGGTTGACTAACATGTCTACTTCCGGCTTGACCTTCTCTTATAGCTTCGTTGTAAGATGGAAGTCGTAAGTTTCTCATTAATTCCCTATTTGTTTGTGTAGCACTACTTTCTCTCGCGGCGGCACTATTTTGATTTCGGCAGTTATCAGTGTTGCCATTGACAACAGGGATCCATGTCCAGATCTCATCGTAATTCGAAAATGTAGGATTTACTCCGCCATGTCTTGGATTCCCTTGTCCACGAGGAGAACACCTCTGTGACCTGAGAAAGGAAATAAAACATTGTTTGATAGGTAACATTTTAAAACAAAAATCCAAAAATAATCGTTTGTTAGACGAAGAGAGCGGTCAATTTCTTTTTACGGCCAATCTGATTCTTCTAATAATTAAAGATATGCTCAAAACGGCGATGCATTTTAGTATGTTGGCTGATTTGTGACGTGTCGTATTTCCACTCCGCGGGGCTCAAGGCGAAAACACACAAAATGCCTTCGCGATATCTCCGTGTTTTCGCCACTGCGCCTCGCGGAGCGAAATACGACATGGCACAAATCAGCCACCATATTTTAAAGCATCATATTCAGAACACAGACATTTGGGGTTTGGAGCTCAAAACGCCTTTAAAATCCAAATAAAATGCATATTTGTCAATCCCAGCACATGTACTGATCATATATATCAAAAAAACTTAATATAAGCCGTTTTGAAAAAAAATCATATTTCAACATCTATAATTATCAATATGGTGGCTTGCACGCATGCTCCTTATAGCCCTAGTAATCCAAACGAAATATATTCGCTTTAATAAAGACAAATTTTCTGTCAGAAATCAGCACAAATTAACAACAGTACAACCCCTACAGAGCATCACCCTGTGGAAGACGGAGATTTTAAATGTTGCTGAGAAATGTTGCTATAAATAGGTTAAATTATTGTGAAGTCTTACATATATAGTTAGAGTCAAAGTACATATAATCGTACTTTAATTCTACAAGCAATTCTAATAAGACCATGCAGAAGAAGTAAAAAGGATATTACTCTATCTAAAGGAGGGTCGCACTGCAGGTGTGCTATATTATAACATAAGACTTTTTTGATCCGGTCGTTCATTTAATATAATTACAAGTTTAACGTTATTACGAAAGCAAACTAACTGGATTTTTTTCCAGATCCTTATTCAATCAAACATGACATTTCCTACAACATTTCTTTTCACGAAAAGTTTACACTGTTTGCTAATAAATAATGAATTCATTGTTACACTTAATTTGATGATAGGAAAGTACAGAGTTTAAGTGTTATATAAACATATTTGTAAGTTAACATTATGATCTCTATATGTTGTCACTGTAACATTATTCATGTTAAAGCAGCACGCCTCCAGATTCGTGTTACTTTTCATGAAAATTTAAGAAATGAATTTGAATGTGAAATATTGTGAGGTGAACAAAAATAGTAATTTACATTTTGCAATCGGCACTTACAAACCAAGAAAATTACCAAAAAGTCGTCAACATATGCAAAAACTACCCTTACTGCGTTAGTAACGCAGTAGAAGTATGGCGATAAATTACTGCACACTCAGCCTTAAACCGCACATAACATGTAAACAAATAACTTGGATCTTTGTTGTTTTCACTTTCTTAAAATTTAAGTACATTTTTCTCAAAATTGATTTTCTTGAAATATTTTGGCTCATCTGGAGGCGTGCAGCTTTAGTACGGCTTTTATATAATCATATTAACGTACATGCGGCAAATTGAGACATGCTCAAACAAATTTTAATGGTGAATTTATTTGGGATCATAAATAATAAACTTCATTTGATGAACATACCTGTCCCTTTGTCGTTTCTTATGTGTTGTTAAAATACAAGTCATTAGTATTACTAGGGTCACCAATAGAAGACCTCCAGTTACCCAAAGAATAACAAGGACGGTTTCGACTTCTACTTCCGCTGGACTAGCTGTCGGCGGTAACGTTGAGGACCCGTCTGCGTCTGAGATGGAAATTGTAGATGCTTGTGTCGCTGAAAAAGGAAAAAATAACTTTTGACCTATGTTACGTACCAGTTAATTGTCACCACGGCTCACCCTGGGAAAAAGCGGGCTTCCATTCGCCTGTCTCGCACTTCCGGGTCAATGCAGTGGCTTTGTTTTGGTGCTAAAATGGTGACGGATATGCCAAGCTTACTGCGGTTGTTTTTTTATTTACCACCTTGCTGGCCCCGCAATGTGGGACCTTTACAGCGTGGGTGTTTGGAAATTCAAATATCAAAGTCCCCTGTTATTTCTCTAAGGGTGGAGGGGTTGTGGTTAAAATTGACTTGTACATTACAAAAAAAATGTACAAATGTTATCATAATTATATGAATCTCAGAATTAAATGTATTTTTTATTCTGTAAACATTGATATCAAAACAACTTAAACCGAATATATCAGCGGATATATAAATAGCCGAATTCTACCTTGACAGATCCACTAGAAATGGACTTTTTATTAATTAAAATTTTGTTCATAACTTAAAGGCCGATTATATCTGAGAAATGCTATCATTTCTCAAAAAAAAACTATGCTTCATGACCGGGTTGTTCAAAACATTGGTTAAAATTAACCATTGGATAGCTTATCCACTGGTTAAATCCTTAACCAGCGGTCAGCTATCCAGTAGATAAAAATTCATTGTTCGACAATTGGATAGTACCCTGGCTACCTAACCAGTGGATAGCGTATTTATCCACTGGTTAAGTACCACAATGCAACAGGGTTGGTTAGTGATTCTGGAAACAAAATGGCCGATATTTTGATGAATAATAAATTTATTAGAATCAAAAAGCTCCCAAAGAAATAATTTTGCATGTTTTGTGCTTTTTTTGTTTTTGGAATTAAACACAAAGTTTATCAGAGGCCTTAAAGTATTGATAGATTTATTTTTCCCTTAGACACACATAAGAAAAAATTCAAAAACAACTTTTTTTCAAATTTTGAATTGAAATTACTTCCATTAGATGGGATTGTATTGTTCTAACTAAGAAAATGAGTACTGACACTTGTATGTTTTATTAAAGAATAAGAAAGTTATCACTGTTTAACTGAATTTTCTGAACTACAACAACAACAAATTTAGATTGAAAAGGGTTCTTAAAGCACTTTTTCAGAAATGTTTCAATTTAATCCTATGCATTTCATATGAAATGCTCTAGTTAAGGAAAATAAACATATATTTGTAAGAAAAATCTGGTTTTAAAAAAGTTTTAATGATTTTTACTATTTTTATGATGATGACTAACCACTGGTTTAGGGCATTATCCGGTGGTCATAGGACTGGTTAAAGTTAACCGCTGGATAACGCATTTTATCCGTTGGATAAGTTTTGAGCAACAGAATTTATCCAACGGACAAAATTTAACCAGCGGATAATGAATTTAACCATTGGTTAACACTAACCAATGTTTTGAACAACCGGATCTTAAATTGTTAAAGTTTCCAAAACAAAAACTCATTTGCCTCATAGATGAACTAAATTTTATTTCTTTTGCTCTGTTGGCAATGGGTTTAATCATAATGATGGGGTACTTTGTATGGAAGTCCAAAATACCACTTTGTTTACATTTTTGCTACCTTTATAACACATTACTGTACATTTAGTGCTTCTTCCTTTCTTCAGTTGTTAAACATCAACTTTGCTCTAAATCTATTATTCGAACATTATTAAACACATGTTCGACATTTTTTTAATTAAAAAAATATGGATTTCTGAGCCAGTACGTGCCTTTAAAATGTGCCTTTAAAATTAGCAAGGTGATGGTTACTTATTTGCCCTGGTGTAATGGGATTAGACAATTAGGTAAGATATTGCCAACCCTGTCAATATTATGATATATGTTATCAATTATTTATGTAATATGTAATGTACATATAATTTATGTAACCTTTATGTTGATAGGTTTATAATATTGACAATGTCACCCACATCGACTTTTTATTACACACGTAAAATCTTCTGTTATATAATGACAAATGATTGCAGGGTACAGTTTTTGATAGCTATTTTCTAAATAGATGTGGCATGAGTTTTTAATCCGGTGTGTACATACAGAAGCAGACGAGAAAGGTAATTAAAATTGAAAGCATGAATAGTACATGTACATTTTTTGTTCGTTTTCAATATTATAATACGCATGCAGTGAACGTCATGTATTGAAAATGGTTAAATGTATAAAAAGAGAACACAAGAAAAGCATTGATGCAAAGCATCAAAGGGCGTCCAAGCAAGAAATGCAGAAAGTGAAGATGAATAAAATTATGCTTAATCTTTCAATATATAATATTGCTTATTCTTAAACCATGTACATTTGTATTTTCTTTATCATTTTTTTAAATTATCAATCAATTGAATAATTCATAAAATCTAATTTGTAACTTTGAATAATTCCTGGGCATCTTTACTAAACACGAATAACAAAATAAATAAAATGTTTCAAAGTTGATAGTGTCATATTTATACCATAAAAATGTACCTTTTTCTCAATTATTGTACATATTTATTGTTTTTATCTCATATAGATAAAATGAAACATGCTATTGTTGTTGTTGTTGGGGTTTTTTCGAATTGTATGTTTATGTATAATAATAATCAATAAATTTGAGAGTTGATCTATGTTTATTTATTATTGTAACCAAACTAAGTGACAAACATTCATTTGGAAAAAAGCTTATTTATCTGTAAAATATCTGGATATCAAACATCTACTCCAAAACCGGGAGAGACCGGACAATAAACGTGTGATACTATTCGCCGATCACTAGTAAATCCCGGTCAAAATAGACCGGGAGGGACCGGGAATTACCGATAGCAGTACATCCCTCTATAAATAGATTTTTGGAATGTTTAGGTCATCAACTCATCATTCTACAAAATGATAAATAAAAAAAAACGAAGAGACGGAAAAGGTTATTTCATGCATTGCGAATTCTCCAGTTCGCTATTCATTGTACATACCGAGACATTTTTTTTAATCAAGCACCCTCATACCGATCGGAATGATCGGCTTTTATTATGACCGACTATAAGGCTCGAGAAGTTGCTGTCGCCCTTTTTCATTCCATAAGGGCGCCGCGCTTCGGCGCGGACGCCATTAATAACGGTAGATAACTCTTTGTCAAACAGTGCAAAGTGGTTACGTCCCTTGCAATATAATACTTTGTCCTGTAGGTAACTCTTGGTCAAAGATAAGAAGTAGATTTTTATGTATTTGTAACAACAGCAAATTTTATTTTCCACCATAATTATTTTGATTTGACAATTATATGGAACGATTGATCTAAAAATAAAATAATATTATTTAACCTTTAAAAAAAAAGTCGCTTTAAGGGCTAAAATGGTCATACCATTTTCGTTTATACATGTAGGGACTGAACCATTCCATCTTCCTGATGCAGAACACTGTAATACCGACGGTCCCGACAAGATGTCGTCGTCGCCGGAACAGATGAACTCTACAACACTGCCGACGGCGTTAGAAAGTGATGACACGACTAAGTTGTCATGGAAATGCGACACTGGTAGGAATGGACACCTCACTGAAAAATAAAAAACAGTTTTCCTTTATATGAACTTTAAAATCACAATAAAGTAATTAAAACCTTTTTTGACATGACGGAACTGAAAATATTTTTTGAGATAAATGTTCCATTTGATGTTAATGAGGACCAATATCCTTCGTGCACAATTTCAGATCATCTGCTCACTCCCTTTTGTCTAGAATAATTACTCAAAATGTTAAAAATGACCCAAAACTGAAAAGCGTTGCAACGCTTTTCATCCAAATCAGACTCTCACTTTATTTCTTAGTATATTTCTAAACTATCTTTGCATATCTGTCTGTTTTAAGTGACCCAGCTCATTTATGTAAGAAATTCAAACGTTATATCTTTAGGCTTTAAGAACTCAGTGGAGAACTTATATTTATAATAGATTATAACATTTATCTCTTTTGTTAGGTTTCAAAGGTTACACAAGTTTTGTTTTTCATACTATAGCTCTATAAAGACTATATTTATCGTCTTGCTAAGAAATTGAAAATAAAAAAAAATACTGAAAAAATAAAAAAAGCACGTCAGTTAAAGGCCCATTATTCCCTGAAAAAAATGTTTTTTATTTCTATTTTACAAAGGTTTTTTTTTTGTTGTTTTTTTTTTGTAACTCTATGATAGTTTCCGCTAAGTTATCCGTTTGTCAATTAAGTGAATCGTCTGGTATTGCTACTGTTGTTTTTTGTTAATTGGTACAGTTAAATAGTAATGTAGCATTTTGTATGGAAGTCAAACATTACTTTGTTAACATTATTTTACTTTAAAGACAAATCATTTTACAATCAGTGATACTTTCACCTGGTAATAAGCATTTGACATACTCTAAAATTCATTAAAAACACAAAACTCATGTTTGTCCATTTTTTATCTTATAGAAGCAACAATTCATTTTCTTTTCTGAAGCATACTGTGCCTTTAAATTAAGGAGCATTTCATGACGGATTGAGGAAAAAAGCTATTGAAAAATATGCATAATTTGTGCCTTTTATATACATTTTGTATAAACAAAAATATTGAAAATAATTGTCATAAAGATATCTTTAGGCACAGAATCGACACGTGCTTTAATCACAATTAAAGTCTGTTCTTCAGGGACGATAATGTTTAATGTAAAAAAAACACTGCAATTACCTATTATACGAATGCTCATCTCAAATTAGTCCTGATTTATTAACAAATTAAAATAATGTCCAATTTTAATGTCAACACAAGGAAAAGAACATTTTTTCACCACCATACGCTGAATAATTTTCACTACAGTTTGCCTCACATGGTTTCTACTTTATCGATTGCCTGAGTGGTGTTTAAAAACATATTAAACGAACGAAAACAAATCGATAACATAAAGAAAACAGCTGTGTTCAAGTTGCATAATAACGATCAACAAAAATTAATCAGCGTAAAGATCTATTTTTATCTTTTCTTAATATCTACAAGGTTGCTTCCCTTTAGCACATAGCGCGTGACCTTCACACGGTTTTTGATCGGGTTATCTACCCTGAAATCTTGTACAGTTGTCATCCAGCGTTTGTTGACCGTTTGTTGCATTAACTATTGCGATGTTATCTTTAAAGAAAGTAGAAGTGTAATTATTATGGATTTTTTTTCATGCAAATATCTTACCAAAACAACGTTTGAAAAGTCAATGCTACTGTTATTACGTTCAATGTAACGTTCACTGTTGCAGGGAACGTTGAATGTAATTTTATAAAAATTTATATTTTGAGTTAGGTCAAGGACTTGTTAACCTTTTTCAGACATTTTTCTTTCCTTTTCTTTCATTCAAATCTTATTCTTCTTCGTGGTGTTCACACTAATTAATTTAAATAGTTGACGCTGTTAAACACACCCATCTATGCTGTGCACGTGCTCAAAGGTGTACGTGTCTTAACGTAGCGTTAAGTGCAAGTGTTCAAGTGATACTCTTATTTACATGTAGCCCTTAAGTATAAACCGAAAATTTACGAACCCAGTATTGACAAGTCAGGCGCGCTACCGTATGTGCACGTGTTTTATCAGAGCACATTTGGGTTTTCAGAAATAAGTTACGCCATTTGCAATTGGCAGTTACTGGTTAGTGAAGGAAAACTTGTTCAGGTTACCGTACGCCAGTATTTGACCGAAATTTTTCCGAATGAAATTTGCTTCATCATCCCCTGCCACCTATCTGTTACTAAAGCGGCTAATGACAGTTTATTGCATTCAAATTTAAAAGAAAACACTTACCTAGATATGTCATTAAACGGTCATTTACAAAAATCAAAAGTTTTATTTACTTAACAGATAATGAAGCGCATTTGTAAATACAAATTTATGAGATTATGTCCGTATTTTGCACCAAATTCTGTCCACTTAGAGGCAAAAATTGTTATAATCATGTTTGTCATCATTATCTTCATCATCATCATCATCAACCTCATCATATCCTGGTCATCATCATCATCATCATCATCATCATCATCATCATCATCTTCATCATCATCATCATCATATTATTATTATTATTATTATTATTATTATTATTATTATTATCATTAAGATTATTATTATTATTATTATTATTATTATTATTATTATTATTATTATTATTATTATTATTATTATTATTATTATTACACGTTTTATTATTCTTGATATTATCATAATTTTCGTCATCATCAAATTAGCTGAAATAGTTTGCTATTTTACATCCACTTCATTATCAGAACAGTAAAATGACTGTTAAATTACTTTAAAAGCGACAAAAATAAGATTAGGGGGTGAACTTTAATTTCTGACAGGTCTAATGAAATCTGTTAAATACAACCGTCACTAAAACAAATTAATAACTGAGCAATTTCGCCTTAATTGCACTGATTAACGAGCTCTGACACCCATAAAAATTGATTAATGTTCTCAAAATTTGCAAAATACATTTTTCTCATGCGTTAATTTTAAAGGCGGGTCTTTTAAAACGATATGGCACCCTACACCGCCTGTGAAATGTACGTTTATACATGTACTCGTTTTATAATATCAATAGAACATGTGTGTGAAAATGCTAATGAGCTATGTGCCAGTTATAGTTACAATTTCTTTCTTTTGAAACATCAACATCTGTCCGTTTTTTCGTAGAGTCTGTAAAATGATAATATTGATTTTCTAGCAATTTCTTTGTATGTGTTTAAATGTCACAAGACTAATCGGAAATCCACTCGAAAAAGACATCCCGGATCAACAAAACAAAGAAATCAAAAACTGTTCAGCTTAGACAAAGAGTAAAGGACAAAAGTAAAGATCCGGGAGTTATTTTTTTTCCAAATTGTCTTATTTATATGGTGAAAAACGTCTTCTGTATTGAGAAAGTCAAACACTGTTTTAGAGTGGCTGAGTGGTTAAGGTCGCTGACTTTAAATAACCAGCGAGAGGCCTTGAATTCTGTTATGAGAGGGCTTACGGTCGGTCTATGGTCCTGTTCGGGTGCCAGTTTGCGCCGGACAGTATCTTCGGTCTTCCTTCCCTCTACCTATAAACCAGAAGTTCATTCGTATGACCTTTACAGTGGTAGTGTTAATCTTAACGGAAAAAGAATTATAATTTGGTATGGTTAATGAAACTGTGGAAAATTTTAAATACATTGTTAAGATGTTTTATTGATACAATTTAGAGCATTTCCTCATTTTCTTTATTTTTTATATTAATTTTTTTTTATTTATTTATTTTATTTCTTTTTCTTTTTTTCCCAATTTTTTTCAAATATCGATTATTTTTTTCCCCGATTAATGATTAAATTTAATTTACAGTTAGAAATTTTTGACTTGACATGTTAAAACCTTAACATCACCTTTAATTCCCGAAAGGTCATAAACCTAAAAAGCGGAAAGTATCAATAATTGATTAGTAACGCGTGTTTTGCGACGTGAGCAGGTAATCGCGCATTTTATTACCTTGCGGCCAGGTGTTTGAACTTAAGCTGATATCATCTGATGCGATCAACAATGTGATGATTATAGTTCAGGTGAGAATTTAACGAAATGACAAATTGAAAACCGAAAAAGATTAATTCCGTGCTTTAAAGGATCTCTGTTCATCTGTTAATTATTATTGCATGCTCCTTTTAACTAAATTACGTTTTCGGCGAATATGACTCTTCAGATTTATAATACACAAATTGTATTAGTTTTACATGCAATTGTTAGACTTTTCGTTTTATTCGCAATTTTCGTTCACAGGCACGAGTATCGGTCCTGGGAAGAAAAAATATAGTATATTTTTAAGGGGGCTCATATTGGACGACAACGACGACGACGATGATGATGATAATGATGATGATGAACAGCGGTATTGAATAGTGGTCACTTAATATAGTGATGATGATGATATTGAAATTTGTCTTTCTTATACAATTCAGTAATGTACAATTATTGTACATTGTATATCTAGTTTTATTGTATTCCGTTAGAAGACTTACAACCCAATAATATTCTGGTTGCTATGGTACCTGGTTACGTATGATTACACTATATAATCATAGGCAGATCCCTGGCTCCTGACAGCTTCCAATAAGGGTATTATTATCTAGTAATGAAGCACACTCAGTGTAATTAATGCTACTTTAATATCCTTAGGCGTATTATTGAATTTGTGTTTTTCTAGGGTTGCTTAGCAACCGTTTTATGAAATCAATAATTTCTGTATATTTGATTGAAATTTGAACTATCGGAGAAATTGATGTTTGGTTTGAGTTACAGTTTTAATTTATTAACTCTATTTTAGTTAATGCTCAGTGAATATGGCTTTGTATATTTAGGGGGTTAATTTAAGTAAAAATTCTTCGTGAAAGTACGGTATATTCCGCCACTTTCCGTTTTCTGATGATGAATAACGTAAGCATGTAGCTAGACAAAAACTCTTCTCAAACGAAGCTTTTTTAAATGTAAAGGCGCCGAAGTTAGTCAACACTATACTTCATACGTAAAATACAATTGGTTTGAAGATAATTTCGTAGGTTTTTTTTTAAATTTATATTCTATTTATATAATAAGAAAGTAGTATCTTTAGGACTTTTAGGATTTTTTTGCGTCGCAACTGTAATTGTTTAACATAGTTCTTATATAGATATTTGCAAATTCGTCCATTTGTGTTATCACAGTGTGATAAAAGCATTCTAAAAACTGTCGAATCTTCCTCGTAAAATACTGGCAAAATCTTAAAAGAGATCTTATAAAAATTGATTTTAGAAAGAATTGTTTTCATCTCATATATTATATTGAAACAGATGACCAAAATGGAACCGAGATACACATGTTTATCTAAGCATGGGACTGAATACATTATATGTACATCTGTATTGTAATTATATGAAATATTTTAAAATCTAAGTTCAAATTTGTTTTGTTTTGGCGCTGTCTTTTTCATTATTTTTCAGACCACGGATTTCGTGTTCAGATGAACCATGTTGGGGAAACGGGTGCCGATTTGACATTTCAAATTTGCTGGAACAGATACGCAAACGTCCAATGATATTGAATGATAAATCACTTTATTTATGAATGCAATTTGTTACAATACACTTCACGGATACCCGAATACCCGTTTGTGTCTCTCTCCGGGACCTGGCATGTACAATAACTAAAATTCCCACGAGGGAGCGGTCATTGTGTAAATCAATAAATAGTACAAAGGGGCGAGTCATTAATGGATGATATTTTATATGATGATCATTGTTATGATGCATCGCTAAATTTAATTTTACAAGATCACGAAGACAGGCACCCGGTCTTAGATGAAGTGCCATCGCAGCAGACGACAATTTCGTCCGGCAGATGGCGCGTTTTTATTACAGTTTCTTTGATATCCGAACGTCAGCTTTGATTTTACTAATTCGTTTAAGAATATTCATAAATTTCTGCATCTGTAAAAAGCGAAATAATTTATAAACCTGCCCGTGCAGATTTATAAATGGACATCCAACCGTTATTGAAATAGTAACACTAGAACCTTTGTCCCAAAATTAATGAGGACGAAATATTTTTACTGTATTTCTACGTCATTAATCGTAATCAGCATTGGGCTTAAACTCTCCGCGTGACATTAAAACGCCATAAACAAGGTCGAATTTAAATGCTATGAATGAAAAACCTTTTTTAAGGGGAAATTTGCATCGGTAATTACATAGGTTGTTTGAGGTAAATGTTCTTAACGATTGAAGCTCGCGATTTGCATACACAACCGTAATTTCAAGGTCCATTAGAAGTAACGTAATTAGACTCAACGTTACTTGGATAATAGATTTTCACTTAAAAGTTTACAGCTATTTTTTTACAAGTCAATGACATGCTAACTGTAAGTTTATAAACTTAAACCAAATGTGTATTTTTTTTACTTGTATAAATTAGATCCTACTTCCTTTTGATGACCTATTTAAAGCTATCTCATAATAATTTGAAGGAAACGTGTTATTTCAGGCACGATCGGACACCAATTTCCTCACATGAAAGTCCCTGTAGGGATTCGAACACACAACGGTTATGGGCAAGTGGTTTGAAGTCAACGACCTTAACCTCTTGGCCACGGATGCCACATAAAACCCTGACACCATCAGAGAAATGACGACATGAATAATAAAAGTTGTGGCATAATTTGGACAGGTTGAGGATAGACTTACATGCTTCTATGGGAATAAGTTAGAAATGGTTGGGTGGCAACAGAATGGCCAAACAATATACATGCAATATATAGAGAATAATAGGTTGGTGCCGTGGATGGAGAAAGTTTATCTGGCGAGGCGGAGGAATTTATTGGGTGAGCCGAATATTCCTTGTGTCCAGGAAATGTTATATATACACATTGTATGTATACATGTTCTTACTTTTCTATGTTTTTAAAATGCGCTTGATAGCTTTTAAATTAAGCGCAATTCCTCCCCATTCTAGGACATGTATTATAATGTGATCTTTGAACCTCCACAATAACGCAAAAGGTATACAAAAGTACATACATTTCTTTAAAAATGCCCTAAAAATGAAACAGAAAACTTTTCTTTCTCACCGTTTTTGTTTTAATAACATGATATCTAAAGCTGGGGCCAAAAATAATAATATTTTGGGGTCCAGTTAAGAGGCATAGTATATGCGATCCTTTTTTTACGAATCTTTTGACATCCCAATTTAGGCAATGATTTGTTATTAACAGAACAGATATGTGAATATACATGTACAGTACATGTACCTAAAAAAATATCAAATTCTAAATATTGGCAGATGGTTTTTTCTTTAAATTTAATAATTTATAATCAACGTATTGTACAACTTACCATCTGAAACTGTATCCATCACTCACTTATTCCGTATAGACACTGACTCAGATAGAAGTGGTGTTACCCATTAACACGTTTCTGTATATACATGTATTAATCCGCATCCGTTACTAATGCTTTAATAAACTGTTTGCCTAACTTCTTAATGTTTACCTCCTTAACAAACCACTCGTTGATGCACTTTGAATCCTTTTACCCATTAATGTACTTAATTTACATCCTTTTTACCGTAATAATGTTTAATAAAAAATCTTAAACGCACATTTTAAGAAACCGTTTATTTTATATTCCAAATTTTCTTTTAAATAGCCAATGCCAATTATGACTTAACGTTTTAAATAAAGTACAGAAGAAACCTTTCTCCTTTTTTCTCTTTAGGAAATAATGGAAAAAATCTCGTGGTTTTACAATAAAGTAGATATGGTTAAGTCCAGAACATCAATATAGATCCACAAATATTAATTATCACGTATGCATAATGACCGTTAATGTTTTAGTATATACATGTATATCGTTATTGATTGTAATAATGCTTTATTACATATAGAACACCGTTTTTGACAGCGCGTATGTCAACTTCTATTCGCGAATGCGCCGCTCGACAAATGTCATTTTCTTTCGTTAATAAATTACTACACGTGTTATAGTAATATTTCTGAGTATTTCAATCTGCCAGAAGCATTTTGTCTTTGACTTTTCATTCTGTCGTCGTCTGCTTCAGCACCAGGAATCATATCACGTGATAGATCACGTGGGGATTGGAAAAGAAGCCATCCGATTGGCCGGAGGAGAATTGTCGCGTTTAATGGTCGGAGAAAATGTCATTATAACGGTCGAGCGCCTTTTTATGTCGATAATGGTAGAAGATCAAAATGTTGATTACTGAATTTCGTAAATTAACCACATTCAAACATTCAATCATATGATGTCAGCAGTAAAATTGAATTATAAATCTACTCTAGATTTGTAAGACGCACAAATGTTTCGATCAGCTTGTAAAATCAGCATCTTAAAAATAAAATGTTATTTGTCAATGAGGTAGGTTAGAGTTAAAATTTTAATTCGAAATAATCAAATACTTTAGAGTTGAAAGCAGCATGCCTGCAGATTCATGCTTATTTTCATGAAAACTTTGAAAATATATAATTATGAAAGTACATGTAAATGATTGTGAAGTGAACAAAGAACGTATTGAATAAATTTCAATATACACTTGTAATTCACGTTAATTACCGAAAAAGGTCAAAATATGAAAAAAGAAGCTCTTACTGCGTGAGTCACGCAGTAAAAATATGGTGATCAAAAATACTGCAAAATAAGTCATTAATTGCACATAACGCGTAAATTATTACATGAATTTTGAATCTTTATACTTTTCTTAAAATCTTAGTAAATATTTTTTCAAGTTTGATTTTCGTAAATTATTTTGACTCTCTGGAGGCATGCCGCTTTAACATGAATTTGACCGCTGGGTGTGATATGTGGTGTGACAACAATAAGGAAGAAAAAGTCTATTGATATTCAAATAGTAGATTTAAAATTATAAACTGTTATTTAATTGTGAGTAAAAAAAGAAAAAAAATGTTTTTAGAGCCTTTAGAGATTTTAGAGATTTTTATAAATGATATGATGTTTCACATGGTTCGTGGTTCTGTTAGTGTCACGTGTACGGTCACGTGGTCCGCCCGTGTACATTGCTTATATATCATCCAAGCTCTTTATTCTACTACCTTTTATTTATAAACGTACCCAACCGACAATTCGGTTACAAACAAAAATTAGACAACACTCGAAAAGGAAAAGAAAAAAAGAGCCCTTATTATTGTGACATTTCTGTGCACATAATTTTGCAGACGACATTAGGAAAAGCAGTCAACGCAGACATTTCATAAAAATTTAATTTTGGCAGATTAAAATTATGAATATTATACAATTGAATTTTCCGACAGTTGTTCCTTTTAGCGTCTTTTCACAAACAACGGAAAGTTGCTACAAAAATAAACCCGCCGTGCAGCCGCTCTTGAACGGCAGACAATTATACTAAAGTAGGAACAATTGACACTTGCTATTCGGCGACACTCTAAAATTATCATAACTTTAAGGGGTTTAGTGTAAATCCCTTAAAAAGGAGTACTCAAAAATCCGTCTGAACAATTACGGACAGTTTTTAAAAGAAGAAATAAGATGACAAATCGCGGAAAGGAAGAACAATAACGGAAGGAACAGATGTTTTTCTCAAGAACGATTATTTTCAAAATTTTGCGCCCATTATTCGGGTGCCAAAATCGCTCTCGTCTTTCTTTCTTTCTCGCACAATTTGAATCAATTTTTTTTAAGATGCAAATTTGATAATTTATATTTGTTTGATTTATGCAACGAAAAATTGCAATAAACATATACAATAATTGTTTATGATCTATTTCACTAAATTTTCGCTTCTTTAAATGCATGTATATTTATAAGTATAAGCAATGTCTTTTTATAGACTACCATAACTAGAAAAAAATAAGAATGTAAGTATTTTTAGCTCGACTTTACGAATTTTTGAAACATATTTTAGTATTATCTCTATTTATTATAAATGGTATCTACTCTAGACTTAAGATAATTATTAGTTCTTAGTCATCACTCACATCATGTATGGCAAGGGTCTTAACTCTAGCATCTCTAGTTCAAAAGTAATTTCCTCTTTGAACTTATAAATTTACTTTAAAAACTTTATAAACTTTTTGCTCTTTTCATTTTTGCTACTTAAGGGATTGACTTCAGATTTCAAAATGTTGCCTTTTCCATTTGAGCATAGAAATGTCTGCTTAACTTTTATTCACAGGCACGAGTATCGGACCTGGGAAGAAAAAATATGACCAGATTGATAAAAAAACCTGTGTTCATCTTAAAAGTGTCAAAAAAAATGTAAATAATGACCCCTTTTAAAAATATACTATATGTTAAGAGAAGGCCGGAAACTCCAGATTCGAGCCTACGAGCAAGGGATTCATTTCCCGGGCCGTTGTGAAAACAATTGGCCAGACAATTAAAAAAAACTTTTATCACTATTTCACGTTTATATTAAGCTTCAAAATGAGACCAACCCCAAGTCTCTAGCCCTTCCCGTTCATGAAATATCTATCAGGAAACGAGCGAATTCGTGCTAAAAATCCTTGGTAGACAGAATTGCGGCACAACAATTCGGTACGTAAACATAGACTAATACATGTATGTCAGCTGACTACGGGTCAAAATTACTTGAATTTACTAAATAATATTACTAAATACATTAAGTTGGACCACTCACAACCGCCAGAAGCATCTGATACACGCAAAATTCGAATTTCAAACCTTTCCACGGTCTTTAGATTACTTTCTACGCCATTGTCAATCAGCTGTTCGATATTTTGTAACGAGTCCTCTGAATGGCCAATTGCAACGAAAACCGCAACGTTTCACACAAGGATGCCTAATGGCGTAGAAAGCGATTGAAAGACCGTGTAAATGTTTGAAACTCGAATCTCGTGTGTATCAGATGCTACTGACGGTTGTGAGTGGTCCACATTAATGTATTTAGTAATATTATTTAGTAAATTCAAGTAATTTTGACCCGTAGTCAGCTGACATACATGTATTAGTCTATGTTTACGTACCGAATTGTTGTGCCGCAATTCTGTCTACCAAGGATTTTTAGCACGAATTCGCTCGTTTCCTGATAGATATTTCATGAACGGGAAGGGCTAGAGACTTGGGGTTGGTCTCATTTTGAAGCTTAATATAAACGCGAAATAGTGATAAAAGTTTTTTTTAATTGTCTGGCCGATTGTTTTCACAACGGCCCGGGAAATGAATCCCTTGCTCGTAGGTTCGAATCTGGAGTTTCCGGCCTTCTCTTAACTTATAGTATATTTTTAAAGGGGGTCATTATTTACATGGTTTTTTTTGGGTTTTTTACACTTTTAAGATGACACAGGTTTTTTTTTTATCAATCTGGTCATATTTTTTCTTCCCAGGTCCGATACTCGTGCCTGTGCTTTTATTGACATCATGGACATGGTCAATGTAATATAATAATTATATTGAACATTTAAGCGCTTTCTTGATACTTATAGCTCTTGTTGTAATTAGATACATGTATGTGAAGTAAGCGTCCTAGCGGCGTGAGGTTACGGCTCTATCATTTTATAGATAAAAATACAGATAATGATATAAAAATATGTACTCATTAAATACACTACAGATAAGAACGACAACTGTGACATTATCACAGTATTTGTTTCTAACGCAGTGGCCTCCCTTGGCAATACATTCGGGGAGCGGAGAGTCGTCCGGTTAGCTCATTTGGTAGAGTGCTAGACTATGAGTCGGGCGACCCGTGTTCGATTCCCGGACGCCGCAGGTCATTTTCGTTGTGATTGATCGTGAAATTAATTATTTACTGTCACTCGCACTGTACCTTTGTTCTGGTCACAGACACTTGGGGTTTGGAGCTCAAAACGCCTTTAAAATCCAAATAAAATGCATATTTGTCAATCCCAGCACATGTACTGATCATATATATCAAAAAAACTTAATATAAGCCGTTTTGAAAAAAAATCATATTTCAACATCTATAATAATACTTATAGATGTTGAAATATGATGTCCAATAATGGGACGTTTCTAGTCGACACAATATCTGACGTTTTGAATTATTTACATAAGTTAGGTTTGTCCTTTCCAATTTCAGAAGCATCACTCTCTTTCTCGATTCAATCTTCAACCTTTTCCGTTTTTCCTTCAGAACTGGTAAGAGTGGCATTTTAAGGCATATCAAATGAACCGGCTTTTACATTTCTTCTTTTAATTGAATCTGGTCTTACGCCAAAACTGTAACTCCCTCGCCTTGCAAATCATCATCCTTTTTAGAATATTTGATATCAACTTTCGGTTTTTCTACATGTCTTAGGAAAGCGTCTACACTATTGCAAAAGTTATAGTATGAACGGTTTTGTTTCACTGCATGCTTTCTATCTTCTTTCTCTTAACTGAGACGACTTTTAGTTTACTTACCAAGTTATCTACCTTTCTTTCCATGTTTTCTTTATCGACCCTTTCGGATTTCTTCAAATCCATGTCCCTTTCCGCTTCGGCACGACGCACAAGCTTACTCTTTTCTAGAACGCTGACATATCTGTCTGTTGCAATGTCGTGATACGAAATTAATATAATGTATTTATTAATATTTATTTGCAATAAAGTATTGATAAATGACAGCCTCTCATTCATGCAAATTAAACCTCTAACAGTCATATACAGTGTGACTGGATTCTATCCATGCATGCAGTGTTATTCAGTCGTCCATCCGTCCGTCCGTATACGCCCAGCTGGCATAAGAGGTTTAATGTTTGTGAACAACTTGGCATTGTAAGGTTCATTCTGAAGAGATTGGTTGAATTGCGCTTTTAAGTTAAAAACAAACAAAAAAATCAGTTGCAGAGTTTTAAAGAACAAGTGAATAATAATGTCTTTGAACAATCGGATACCTCAATTTCGATACAGGTCGGTAAACTTGTTATATCCGACGGAACACACTTCTCTGTTGCTCAAGCATTTTTCAAACATTGACAAATAATCTTATTCATTTGAAATTAGATCGGGCAAGCATTCTTGTAACATAATTCTCATTCCAGCAGATACATTTCAACATTTTAGCGATTAGTAAGTGTGTACCGTATATTTATTTTTCTGTCTCGCATTAACGAAACATCTTTGTGTACGTTTACGACATACGCAAGTGAGTCTTGGCATTACGCATGCGCAGTAGAATATAAATAGACATTTTTGAGCATTTTGGAGAAATGTTATTTACATTGACAACGATTTTATATATTTCAAAACAAACACCCATGAATCGAAAATAAAATCAATACATTATTGTTATATACATGTCTAAGCATTGTTTACAAACATTAACCTGTCGTAAAACATACGTTTCGTCTTGTTATCACAGAAATAAAATTGTTCATGTTGATAATGAAATAAAGCATTGCAAAAATTAATTTAACTGTGTTTAAATCATAGCTTTTAAGATAAACTTTTCAGTCGTTGTAGCAATGCTTTCTTTCCTGGATAAAAACTTGTTAAGTATATACGTAACAGTTCATCCCTGAGAAAATGTGAATGAATTATTGATGAAATTTTGGCCAAATTGAAGAGTTCATTTCATAGGTGCATGAAAAATGTAGATCTCTAATATGGCTTAAGTGATACATTTCAAAAACTCGAAATGCCATGAATCTCATGATTGTGAAAATGAACTCATAATGTACAGTCAGCAGCTATTTCTTCAAACTGCTGACCCCTGCAGTTATATTGCTGCAAAAGATGAAGGTGGCAAAAGATACGGAAAGATACAAGATGGGTTAGAGTCTTCCATCAGGTTAGTATAGATAACTTGACAGATTGTTTTGGTTTTTTTCCCATAATTTAGAAGTGTTTTCTGTAATATTCAGCAATGAAAATCTAAAAATCATACCTAAATTAAGCCTTACCCTGAAAGCCTTAGCCCAGCCTACGAAAGGGCATGTCGATTAAAAAATGTTCATTTTTCCATTTTAAAGGCGTCCATTCCGAATTTCATATTCACTTGGAACACTCGATGATTACAGTTAGTAATAAGAAATTAGGCAAAGCCTATGAACGGGGAAGTCGTTAAGAAAAAATTCCTTTCATTTTTTTTTTCTGTTTTAAAGGTGTCATTCGGTATTTCATGCACCCCTTCCGTTTTCAATCTGAACACTCAACGATTATTATGTATCCGAAAAGTTGAGATTTGTTCCGTTATCGGAATACCCTGCCTATTATCATTGAGTTACATTGTAACCGACTAGAATTGACACTGAAAATTTCATAAATTCTATATAGTTTTTAATTGTTTTTTATTTGATTTTCTTTTTAAATATACACCTGTAGTCTATAGCCGTGAAGCCAAAGTCGGGCACGCAAAGCAGGCCTGTTCTTTGACTTCCCCGTATTAATCAAAAAAGTTGTGATTCTTACATATAAAATGGGGGCGCCCAACTAGGAATGACACTGAAAATTTCACTGATAAGTATAGAATTTTATATATATACTAATTGTTTTTTCTTCAATTTCCTTTTGAATATACACATGTAGTCTGTAGCCGGGCAAGCCAAAGTCTATGACTTCCCCGTATTAATTGCATCAGTGCATATTTCATGACTTGATCTTACATACTTGGGAAGTGCTATGAATATCTCTCCTTATGCACTCTCCTTATGTATTTCATGTATCATTTGCAATGAATCAGAATATGTAAATCATTTTAATGCAGTAAATGCTTAATTGATTTGAATATATAAGTTTATTACCACAATGTAATGTTCAAATAATATAAATATATCATCTGGCAATCTAATTAGTTGATGATACAAATTTTTGTTCAAATACATGTGCTTTTTACGTTACATATGATTGTTTAATTAACTTGGTGAAGTTGGTCATCCAATCAGTGAGTGCAATATGTTGTTTTTTCGGTAAGCAAACAGGGTTGTCATTAAGAGGCGGCAGGAGGCCAAAATGCCTGTCTCAAATGCATTTATTGGCCGCCTCAAAATTAAGGAAACACTCTTTGTTATGCATTATAAAGACAGAAATGACCGCCTCAAGTTCAAAACAAACCTGCTGCAAAAAATGTTAATGACAACCCTGAGCAATAAGACTGGCTTCAAATGTCAAAAGTAGAAAAATTAAATCTAAAAATTCCTCTAACAAAACTTAAATAGGGGGCATAGGATGTTTTGGGTTTGGCGAGCGTAAGGAATTAAACAAAGCAACATGTAAGATGTGTTTTGCAGGCATGTCATATCAGAAGTTGGTCAAGTACAACAACCATGATGCAACACATTCAGTCTTTTTAGTGATTATAGATAAAACTTTTTTATGTTTTTAGTGTTGAAGGCAGAGCAAGAATAACAAGAATACTGGTGAGTTGTGTTCATTTTAATTCTAAATATCAAAATGTTGATATTTAATTATTTCAAAGAATTTCTATTTACTATTAGTAACAGTGTCATACCAAACTTATAAACAAGCAGGTATTTTGTTGTAGTAATTTAAGTAAAATTATCATTCTCTTATCTTATCATTCTCTTTAAGATCATAACTTGATTATTTTATGATATATTTTTTTTTTGGATACAATGTTTTACTGCATGTATTTAGATTTTATTATTAATGTACTGCATTACTAGTGTCCCATTTAAATTTCTTAATTGCTGACAACAGTTTTAAAAATCGTCACTTTATTGAATCTGATGAAATAACACTATGAAATTCATTTTATCTAAAAGAATACAATCAACAAAGAATGAGTTTTCAATTCTTACGAGTCTTCATCAGGGTTTTGAAAATATTGAAATAATATTGAGATGCATTTTGCACTGACAGAGCGAGATTCACAGTTTGACAGATGTTGAGAAGTTGTTGCTCTACCTGAAGTTACCAACAGGTGGCATTCAAGAAGACCAAAATAGACTGTAAGTGTTACAGCAGTTTTTGATGTACTGTATTTCTTGGAAATTTAACTATTCTGAGTTCAGCCAACTCCGCTCGCGAGTGTTATAGGCAGAAATAATTTGTATGGTCATTTAATTATCCGGCACATTGTACATGCACCAAAAAAAAGGGTGGCACTTCACTGGCTCTAAGGCAACAAAAAAAGGTGGCTTCATTGCCAAGTGGTTATGGTCACTAGGCTGATTAAAACCTCTGTGCCTTCATCCACTGGATTCTTTCATATAAGGAAGCTTTCAAGCTAGCTTATGAAATCAGGGTTTTATTTTTATCTTGGGCAGATGTGCCAACAAAAACAACCGATTTGGCCAAGGGTCAAAGGTAGATTTTTTAATCTACTTTCTGAAAAAACATCCGATTTTAACAGTATTTCAACTGATGATATGGATTGCCTGTCTGTTAATAATGAAAACACTTATGTCGGTGGTTCTACTCAGGTGTCTGCTTGGGCCTGAAAATAATTCATGAAGGGGCACCTGTGTATTCTCTCTCCTGCAGGAAAGCTGGAAAATCACCATATGACCTGAGCATTTGGAGACCTAAATCTGTAAAATAAAAAAAGACTCGACAGCAGTGTGCGGAAAATTGATCTCACAGAAGTTAAAGCTTTAATTATATAATAAGCTAACGTAAGTTATGATATGAGTTAAAGTTTGTTAATGAAGAAATGGCATTTTCAGGACGCCACCATCATGTTTGCCAACATCAAATAGAAAGGAGCAAGGTGAGGCATTTACCTGGATTAAAAGTCATCTTGAAGAACATGGAGATGTGTGCATGCCGAAGGCTGAGGTTTATGATGAGTACAGGTAGGGTGATCTTTGGTGAACGCTAACAAAATCTGATATATATTTTCTCTTGTTGACCACTTACTTTTTACTATAGACATTTCTTAACAGAAAATTTGGAAAATATATAAAATCCTTTTTTTTTAGAGATTTTTTTTCAAAAGATAATGCAAATTTTTGTAAGGAAATGCCATGTTCACCTTAATTTCTAGGTTGTTGGGGATGGGTGTCGGGTCTTTATAAATTTTGGAAAGTTTGAGATTACATAACAGTTGGAGATTTTTTAAAAGTTTAAAGGGAGAAACAATATATGTTTCAGCAATGTTTTACTAAAAATTGGGAAAAAATGCATGACTTAAATTTTTCTGTGATTCTATTAATGCAAACAATCACTGTCTTAGATGGCATCTTTAAATCTTCAAATATTTAAGCACTATAAAAGTGAAGAAGCCCCTATTTTCAAAGATTTTAGAATTTGTTATTCAAGACCTTTTTTTGTTAACTTTCAATTGGGATTTTTTTCCTGTGGATTTGGAAAATAATATACTATTTTTAAGTAGGAATATGACCGAACAGCGGCTATAAAATAAGTAAAAAAAGTCCCTGAAATTACTACACAGAGTTATTCACTTGTATCAAACTCAAGCGTGTGTGTGTGTAGTCTATGCTTAATGAGGGACCATCCGCCAGTAAGGGTACAAAATCCAGCTTTTGCTGCCGAGTACGGACCACGAACATGTCGCTAGTCATGCCCTTAAAGAGTTAATTGTGAAGCATAAATTGGTGATAATTTACCTCCATGCAATTTGCCAAAGATTTGAAATTTGAGCCAAAAGTATGTCACTGTACGGCGGTCAATGAGAACCTTGAGTACAGTAACCCGAGACAATAATAAAAGGAGGTTCAACACAAGTAGTTATGTTGTAAATGAAATATTTATTTGATCTACAGTCATGTATTTATTGTTGTTGTTGTTGTTTCAGACAATACTGCGAGCAGCACGATCTCCGGCCGTTATGTAACGCCGACTTCGGCAAGATGATGAAGCAGGTGTTCCCGGATATAAACACGCGACGCCTCGGTCAGAGAGGACAGTCAAAATATCCTTTTAACCTTTATAAATACTAGATTTTTATGAAGGACTTGTTTCTTTTTAGCTCACCTGTCACAAAGTGACATAGTGAGCTTTTGTGATCACTTTTCGTCCAGCGTCCTTTCGTCTGTCCGTCCGTACCTGTGGTAAAAATTGACCCACCGAGAGGCCCATTGATTTTCTTTATACGCATAAAGTACAAACAGAAAATTCTTCTTTTAAAAAAACCCAAATAAACAAGTACTCTGACTCAGGTGAGCAATTTACGGCCATCATGTCCCTCTTGTTTAATCTGGAGTTTTCCATTTACAATTTCATTTTACCAATTAGTGGATTGTCTAGAGCTGTCATTGATAGAGACGATATCGATGTATCGTTGATATATTTCTGTCGATCAATAATAGAAACACATTTGAAAAAATCATTTTTTTTGGATAAATTATTTAACTGTCTATAAGTTATGAAAATTCACTAAAAACATATACAAAAGCAGGTGGCCATGTCTAACACTAATCTGTTGTTACTTAATGGACACATTTCATAGCAGTGATGACAAAAAGTGGTCAGAAAAAAAAATCATGCAAAGGTCATTTACAAATGACACTACACAACATATCTGCATGAACATAACATTTATGTTACTAAAATGATATAAACATGTATGAAAAACTTTTATATACATGAAATTAGGAGTACTTATCGATATATCAGAGGAGGTCACTGTCCAAGGCCTATAACATTTACTTGGATTATGACTGAATATAGCCCTTTTTTGAACATAGAAAATAATCAAGCATGTTGTCCTACTGACAACTCATATTTTTCTTTTCTTTTTGAATGCAAATGGGCCCTTTGACCTCAAACTTGACCTCAGACTTGACCTCTGACTTGACCTCTATACATAAGTAAATCATCATAGCAAGAAGCTGTAATAAAGATTTGCTATGGTAACATTGTTCTTCTTAACGAAGATTTACATATTTCTACGGAGGGCTGAGGAAGAAGCTAGAACCTGCCCCGCCCACCTTGCCAGAACTGGAGATTACTACAAAAACTATTGAGGTATGTACAGTTTTGAGTTGAATGTAAGTTATAATTGAGCTGCCCCATGATAAAACCAACGTTATGCGTTTGCGACCAGCATGGATCCAGACCAGGATCAGGTTCCATGCTGTTCACTTAAAAACCCTATTACAAGTAGAGAAACTGATACCGAACAGCCTGGATCCTGATAAGACTGCACGGATGCGCAGGCTGGTCTGGATTCATGCTGATCGCAAACCCATTATGTTGGTTTTGTCATGGAGCGGCTCATATATATACACAGGCACTTGGGGTGTGCAGCACCAAACGCCTTAAAATCCAAATAAAATGTATTTATGTCAATCCCAGCACATATTCTTATCATATATATCAAAAAAATTGAATATGAAATAATTAGTCCCTCACATGTGAAGTTTGAATCAAATAAGGGACTTTGGATACATGAACATTCATGTGAGGAAGCTACCCAGCTAGTTTATGCAGGGTTGAAGGTTCTACTCCAATAAAAAAAAGGGGGGCAGCTGAGGTTTTCTTCTAACAGTACACTTGAACCAAAACTTTGCAAATTGTAGTGTTTACATAACTTCATCTTAAAGCCCTACAAATTAGATGAACAGAACTGAAAAATAAAAAAGGACACTTTTTTGGTATTTCAGATTGACTCTTAACAAAAATCGAATGAAGAAAACAGAAATAAAGAGGACTATTTTTTTTGTTTCAGATTGATACTAGCTTAATGGAGAGTGAGATTTTTAAGTCATCTTGCCAGCTGGTGTGTGAATGGGCTGATAAACTACTTGATATGAAATTTGGTAGCATCCAGGAGATAGCCGAACATCTTATTGTTAAAACTTTTGTCAACACCAAGTCCGTCGCTGCATTCACTTTGATTGCAGCCATGCAAGAGGGAGGGAAATATAATCTTAAAGGTACTGGTTATCAAATATTTAATGACTGTACAAAACTTTTAAGAGTCTGTATGTTGTAATTAAGGATGTAACAACACTTAAGTGAAATTTTATATATGTGAATAATTATTCTTCTAAAACAATTTCCAAACATTCAAGAATATGTTTAATAATTACTGCAACTGTTTATTCGCATTATTAGTAATCATTAAAATCTATGCATTCATTTCTTACTTAGACTTTATTGAAAATAAATTTATGATTATCTCCCTTTATTTACATGAAATGTAGATTCGGTAATAACTTTACAAATAGGGCCTAATGCTTTTTTGACCTTACAATATTGAAAAATGTTCATTTGAGATATAACGTATTCACAATGTTGCGATAACATTCACGATAACTAATAAATTCACAAAGTAATTGTTTCACTATTGCAGAAAATTAATCTCTAACGTAAAAACTTGATTCATGAATATTAGCTAAAATCAAACTAAATGCTTATAAAACCTGTTCTACAGGAAATGACATGTTATTATAAAAATATCATTAAAAATTTGTCAAGTAGTTCATCCAATTGGTTCTTTTTGCTGTTTTAATCGAAAAACAAATTTTTTTATCAAAGAAAGTCCATGTGATGTTTGTTGACTCTTTTCTCACTGGTGTCTTGCTGGAGTTCAGCCATTAAACAAAATTTAAAAGGAAAACTTTCAAATTGTGATGTCAAAAAAGAGAAAAATGTATATAATAAACAGAAAACCCAATTTTTTTCTATAAATACATGAATTATTATCATCTTGTGGCATGAAAATTATCATACATGTATTTCACTAGTAGATACCACCACTCATGAAATATTTATTTTCATACTACTTGATGAAAATAAATCCTGTATTTATAGAAAAAAATTTTAATATCCCCCCAATTTTTTTTTTTTTTTTTCTTTTTTTTTTTTGCAGACTAAGCATTATTCAGCAGTCAGCATGGTTCAGAAAATTCCGCCACTTATGAAATATATACTTTTATACCACTCGATGAAAAATAAATCCTGTTTATTTATCTATTTTGCAGATTCGGCATTGTTCAGTAGTCAGCATGGAACAAGTGGTGATAAACATAAAGAAACCAATTTACTGCTTCAAAGAAAATTACAGCAGAATAAAGAAATACAGAAACAAAAAGATAAAGCACAGGTGAGTTTTACTTCTCTAAGATTCTTTAAAGGGACTCCACTGAGGTGTTTTTGACATGACAGGATCGGAAATATTTTCTTTTAGATTGATTAATTAATGTTCCATTTGATGTAGGTCAAGACCAATAACTTGTGTGCAAAATTTCAGATCATTCGCTCTCACTGTTATTCCAGAATAATAACATCTGTCATATGTTGCGGTTCAGATCGGAATATGGTAGTATGGTTTCCGCTCATTATGTTGAAAGCTATTTATCACAAAGTCTTCATATTTCTAATATTGATTGGTCATAACTATAAGATGACCCCCATTGATATTTGGTCACTAGTACAAAGGTCAAGGTCACAGGGGCCTTTAATGTCAGAATGGTTTCCACTCATTATCTTGAAAACTATCACAAAGTCTTCATTATTTTGCTTTTTTCCATAACTGAACACTTCCATGTACCCATTTATGGCAAGTTTCTATAACAAAATAACCAATAATGTTAGTCAAGGGGCGCATATGTGTCTTTCGACATTTCTTGTTTCTGAATATATTTCTTATATATATTTCGTTTGCAACTTTTTGTTGTAAGTGCTCAAGCTGATCTATGTAAGAAATTAAAATTTTTAGTTTTTTGGTTTCGGAACCTCAGTGGAGTCCCTTTAACTCTTTTGACATCTGGTGGCAACACATTTTTTTCTGTGCAACCAGTGCACAGCCCAAGATCAGTCTGTATAGTAGGCTTTTTCAGTCAGTATATATTTTGAAAATTTTTCTAAATCATGATAAATAATTCGTATCAGACTAGAAGATTACCAAGTATATTTTTAAAGCTACATGTCCCCCAGATGAGTCAAGATATTTCAATAAAATCAAACTTGAGAAAAATGTAGTAAGATGTAAGGAAAAGTAAAAAGTTTCTAGATTGAAGTAATATTTTACATATTATGTGCAATTAATGACTGATTTTTCAGTATTTACAACTATATTTCTATTACGTTACCAACGCAGTAAAGGCTATTTATGCATATTTTGACTACTTTTTGGAAATATACGTGGTTTGAAGTATCATTGAAAATGTGTAAATTGCTTCCTTTTGCTTCACAATATTACACATTTAGACACATTATCAAAATTTTCATGAAAATTAGCATGAATCTGGAGGCGTGCTGCTGTGTGGTAAGGTAAAGTAGCTGGAAAAGTACCTGTTGATCAAAAACACCTCATCCTTTCTGTTGTAGTAAATAATACAGGTGTAAAATCTTCATTATACAAATTTGCCAGGTTTAAAATTGAAGTTGAAGGTTCTACATCATAGGTGCTTGCATAAATTATAAATATTATGCCAGGATACTGAAAAAAAGACTGAAATTTTGGGTCATGTGACCAGAAAAGTGGAAATTTTGGGTCATGTGACCAGAAATGTGGAAATGTCTTATATCCTGACCTACTTGAGAATGAAAATTAATGAAGTATAAAAAATATATTTTACTAAAGAAGTAAAATGTAATGAAATAAATATGATAATAATAATGATAAGCTAGGAAACTTGCAAATGAAAGTTATTGAAGTATAAAAAAAATATCTTATTAAAGAAGTAAAAAAAAGTATTAATTTTGAAAAAAATAATTTCATTGATCAGGGATATTAATACTGAAAAAAAATATTATTGTTATAACATAATTTACAGGGGAAAAAATAATCATTTTAAAGGGAAGTAACTGGTTGCAAAACAACAGTTCACTTATTTTATTGTAGTAACCTCCCTTTATTTGCATTTATAATATGAGGGAAGATACAAGATTTTAAAATCAGAAACAATTTTAGTGAACACTATACATGTATAATGTTAAAGACTGCAGCCTAGTTTGACTTTATACTAATGGCTAATAGTCAAGTTAGAGAACCGCTTCCGTGGTCGAGGGGTTAGAATCGATGACTTCTAATCCAGTTATCTCTCTGGCGTGGCCGTGGGTTCGATCCCCGGGAGATGCTTTGGTAGTTTAGCACGGAGGAAGGTAGTCTAGTATTGGTGTAACTCTCTAGGAAAGATGGTTAGGAAACTAAGCGCCTATAAAGATTGAAATACTGTTGGGAAAAGGTGTAAAATGAAACAAACAAACAATCACGTCAGAGAAGAAAAAGAGAGTTTTATTTCTGGTCTGCCCAGACTCAATTCTGTATGTTTTGGAACATCAACATTTCATGTTGATATCCTAATAAATAATGATAAATATGGGTGGGTAATACAAAAAAAAATCATGTTACAATAATATATTGCGATATGTGCAGATATAGTTATATACTGTTGTATATCATGAACTATATAAAATGCTTGAAAATCATAAAATGCTTGAAAATCAGTAGGTTAATACCCACTGAAACTTTACTTAAAAGAGTTTAACTTTATTGTTTTATAGTATGTCCCAATAGAGAATATGTGACAGACCCTTTAATAGAAGATTTCTTAATGTGTTAAAAAAAGGCATTGTAAATGAAGAAGTTTAAACAACTTAATGTAAATGCCATTAATTTTTAAGTCAAGCTAATACAAGGTGAATACACTTCAATCTTTAATAGAATTTTATAAAAAGTTTATAGCTTCAATATATTGTGATATATATGAAAACTTATTGCAATATAATATTGCAAAATAAAATATTTGGGATTTCTGCAGTATTATATCTAGAATTTCAAAATTATTTGGGTATTGTCCTCCACTCTACTGAAAAAATGTGGGGGATTTGAAAAAAAATGTGGGGGACATGATTTACCTAACAATATGACGTACTGAAAAGAATTAATTTATTAAAGGTTTAGGCATCTTAACAGCATTTGTCTGATCAACAACTCAAAAAGAAAAAAAAGAAATATATAATATTAGTAAAGTGTGCAGATCAAACTGTCAATACATAGACGATATGACCCGGCCGGCTGCTATTTGCAATTAAGTATGTATTTTAGTCATTACCTCAAGTGAAAACAAACATGGCAGAAGTGTTCAAGATACAATGAAGATTAACTTAATTAAGTTCAAAAGGTCGTCTGATGGGCAACTTTGTGCGCATTGACTTCATTAAAAAGCAAGATCTGCAAAAAATATGCTCAAATGGCGCAATTGCGCGACCTAGATACAACACTGTCAGAAAACATATTGAAGTATTATATTGCCAGATAAAATATTGCGATTTCCAATATATTGCCATATATTGCACAACCCTAGAAATAAATCCATTTTACACAGACAGTTCAAAAATAAGAGAAGGCGAACAAGTCAATTTCAGAATAACAGCTGTAAGGGTGTCTTGTCCGCGACCAATGTTTCCCTGTATTTGAAACAGAGGCATGAGGCGGTGTTGGGGAGGGCGCGAGGGCGGAATTGTTTATCTTTGGTCTTTCTTCAGTGATGGAATCCGACGAGACACCAAATGACATTTAAGATGTTTGTATCACTTTAAATTGTCGGTAGCGTGGCAAGACCACCTGCCCTTGTAACATTATAGTGTTATATCTGGAATAGAAAGCTTATTATAAGTCTCTGATAATACATGTATATAATGAAGTAAACTGAGTACTGTAGAATGCTTTAAATTTGTGTTGTGAAAATTGTGTCTGCACTTGTCACTTGCCATTATGGTATGGACTGTTTACTTAACGTCTGATTATAGTCTCATCTGTTTATTTCACATCAACTGTTAACTTGATGTCTTAATATGGTCTGCACTGTTTACTTGTTCTTTGATTATGATCTGCACTGTTTATTTGCCCTCTGATTATGGTCTACACTGTTTACTTGCCTCTGATTATGATCTGAACAGTTTACTTGCCCTCTGATTATGGTCTGCACTGTTTACTTACCCTCTGATTATGGTATGCACTGTTTGCTTGTCATCTGATTATGCTCTGCACTGTTTATTTGCCCTCTGATTATGGTCTGAACTGTTTACTTGCCCTCTGATTATGGTCTGCACTGTTAACTTGCCCTCTGATTATGCTCTGCACTGTTTATTTGCCCTCTGATTATGGTCTGCACTGTTTACTTGCCCTCCGGTTATGGTCTGCACTGTTTATTTGCCCTCTGATTATGGTATCCACTGTTTATTTGCCCTCCGGTTATGGTCTGCACTGTTTATTTGCCCTCTGATTATGGTCTCGACTGTTTATTTGCCCTCTGGTTATGGTCTCCACTGTTTATTTGCCCTCTGATTATAGTCTGCACTGTTTGCTTGCCCTCTGATTATGATCTGCACTGTTTATTTGCCCTCTGGTTATGGTCTCCACTGTTTATTTGTCCCTCTGATTATGGTCTCGACTGTTTATTTGCCCTCTGATTATGATCTGCACTGTTTATTTGCCCTCTGATTATGATCTGCACTGTTTATTTGCCCTCTGATTATGGTCTCGACTGTTTATTTGCCCTCTGATTATGGTCTCCACTGTTTATTTGCCCTCTGATTATGGTCTCCACTGTTTATTTGCCCTCTGATTTTGGTCTGAACTATTAACCTGACATCTGATTATGGTCTGCACTGTTTACTTGACATTGTATTATGGTCTTAACTGTTTACTTGCCCTCTGATTTTGGTCTGAACTGTTTATTTGCCCTCTGATTATGGTCTGAACCAGTGTTTTTTTTTCACTTTTGGGGAAAGGGGGTCGGTGCCCATTGGAGGGGGAAAAATGCAATAGGAGGGGGATTTTTATACGGATCTAAAATATTGATGTGTCACATGATAAACTTGTTGGGATGCCAGGAGTAGCTCCCCTTACCTATATGAAAAACCTTGCTTAACAGTAAGTCTTACAGGCTTAAAATAAAGCATTTTTCGGCAGTTAGTTGCAAAAAAATGATATTCATTGCAGGCAGATTTGGGCTGCCATATTATAGGGGGAAATTTAAGCTTTGAGGGGGGAAAAAAACATACTATTTTGAGGGGGGAATAGGGAGAATTTCGCCGAATATTTTGGTGAAAAAAAACACTGTCTGAACTGTTTACTTTACATCTGGTTATGAT